TCTATCTATCTATCTATCTATCTATCTATCTATCTATCTATCTATCTTTTTTCATCTCAAAATATATCGTATAACAACAAATGTGTATAAACCAAAGTCGATGTTCATAAAACATTATACATTATAAATTTATTATATAACATTATATATTTATTATCAATATCCTCCCATTTCCTTCCTTTTCGGCAGTTTTGGATGGAGGGGCTGACCCAGCAGGCGGCACTGCTCGAGCTGCAGGCTTTCCTTACCGAGGCAGAATCCCAGTTGAAGGAACATCATACCAGCATCAGTCAAAACCTCTGCACCGACTCTGTTTTGACCACAGTCCATAATTACTGCAAGGTGAAAACGAGCGAAGAGATACACAACCAGTAAATTAACCAGTTAGAGAATTTTGAATTCATTATGAAGGGTTTTCAGAGGCTCATTGTTAAGTGGAAGCACAATTTTCAAGTTTCTGTAGAAGTTTGTTTGCTGTTTTACATGTATATATTATATATGTATGTTTTATAAATGCTTTCTCTCATTTTATCACATTTTTTTCAGGAGTGTCAGATAGAAACATCTGCTCATCAAGCCACAGTGGATTATATAAACCAGCCTTTAAAATCATACACAACTGGGAATAGCCGCCATGAGAACAACCAGTACGCAGAGGAACAAGGTCGCCTTAATTATCAATGGCAATATTTTGAGAAAAATCTTGAAACTCAGGTAACATTTTCTGATTTATGCACAAGTATATCCTGTAAATCCTCTCATTTAGCACATTTCAAGACAGATATTTCCAGACTGAACTGCATATGACTGCATGAATTTGTTTTGTAATTTCAATACAAGCATTGTCAAGTATACACTGAAATAAAAAATCAATTATGAACAGATGGAATATTGGTGCTCATTAGTATATACTCGGTCAAAATTACAAAAAATGTTGAATAAAGACTCCACTGTAGGGCAAAATGAAAAAAGGCAGAAAATATGCATGTTTTGGCCTGTGTGAAAGTATCTAAACACAGAATTTGTTCAAATGCACTGCATTCATGGATGCACCACATTTGCCTTTTTGCAGTTTTTCATTCATTAAGCTTTGCCTTCAGTAAGCTTCTTTATAGAGTGACAGTTGCTTTTACATTTGTTATAAAGGGACTCGTAAAGCCAGGGAAAATAATTATTTCTTCTCTAATATATCAATAGAATATCGTTATCTTCTGAAATGTACCTATTTAAGTGTTTTTTTACTTAATGATTATTTTTTAAGTCATAATTTGTGTGAATAAAAGCAATGTTTTTCTATGGTTTATGTTTTATGTTTTTCTTCTACATCAATTAAGTAATATGTGACCTGATTATTTTTTTGTTTGAAATTCAGATTCAAGGTATGAAGCAAGAGCTGAGGGACCGAAGGGAACTAGATGCCCTATTGCAGCAGATTAACAGCTGGATCACAGACCAAAACCTCTGGATTGACTCTGTTCAGGCACCCAGCAGTCAGACAGAACTACACAAGAGCCTCAGCATTTGTCAGGTCAGAGATTATTGTTTTCTTTTCAGTCCTGTTACCAAAACTCATGTGACATCTAAACGGCAAGTTTAAAAAGCATATCATTATTCCTTTGTTCACCGCTCAATAGAGTGATTATTTTAGTAGATTGACCAGTAACATGTTGAAAAACGTGATATTTGATACTGAAAAATGCCTACCTGCAAAATGAAGATGAATTTTTCATAATTATACAAAGGTATATTTCTCATTTTAAGGAGACCCAAAGCTCAAGTTAATCAAATATACAGTATTATCATGTAATACATTCAATAGTTGGATAAATGATGGCCCTATCATAATTTAATAAGTAGTTTATCTTTTTATTCTCAAATGATGAAACTGAGTATGCATCTCAACAGCTTTAGCTTTTTCAAATTAGTTTGAAATGAACTAATATTTACACTAAGATATCATTTATCCAGTAGACTCATTTAAAAAGTAGCAGGACAAAAAATAACAAGACTGAGTTTTTAACATTAAATTAGCATTGACATGACGTGGTAACGAGGATGGATGGATGGATGGATGGATGGATGGATGGATGGATGGATGGATAGATGGATGGATGGATGGATGGATGGATGACCACATGGCATCCTTGATTAAAATATGAAACACTGAGACACATACATAAGGAGTTACCTTTTTTTAATGTATTAAAAAAACTAATAATTACTGAGATATACTGAGATTTAGGTGGAAGGACAGTGTGTTGAGATTGACCTTCTCAGATTTCATGAACATATTGTCTTATATACAGAAAAATAAAGTAAAGAACTTTCTTTTTGCTCTTCCCGTAGAAGATCCATTTTGTGCATGTTACCGGTGGGATGTTCTGAATTTTTCAGATTGGACAATGTGTAAAGTAACAGGACTAAGTGAAAACCCTGAGACAAGCCTAAAATGTGCATTGTAATAAGAATACTACAGATTTCTTTAGAAAGGAATATGTTAAACATACAAGGGGATTGCAGTCATACAAAAATGCAAAAGAAATCCCCAAAATATTCATTTTATTCAGTATGTCACTGGAAAGTGTAATGTAAAGTGAGGACAAGTGACAAATGTGTATTTTAGTGTTCAAGGTAGCTTTTATCAATTCTTTAAATCATATAATTTACTTTTGTAATTACACCAGTGTACTGGACACTTTATAAGAAAATGCCTTTTCCACATAACCGTGCATTTAAACATATAAATTTCTGGGGGATAGAAATGGCACCCAATCCGTGGAAAGGTTCTAAATTGATTAACTTCCTGTTTTGCATTAGGACCTTGAGGAGAAGATTGAGCAGAAGCATGCGGCTCTCAGGGAATTGAGAGACAAAATCTGTTCCAAAAAAGATATTAGTAGCTGTGATTACACCTCCAATACAGAGAAGTCCATCCAGGCCTGTGCAGCTCTAACACAACAAGTGAGTAAAGAACATGTTAAAAACGCATAAAAAGTTGTTCTGTTCCAGGAGCTTTACACTCCAACAAAGCAGAAAAAAAGAATGATTCAAATGTTTGCTTTTCATTCCCACTTGAAGAGCATTTTGAATACTGGTAAAAAATTCGTTTATTTTTGTCTGCCTCCCACTGGTTAATCATTTTGTCCATTTCAGAATGAATCACTGAAGAGGAGGCTTATTCATGCTCAAAATCTGTGGAATACCGTGGATGAGAAACAAAAATACATGATGCTCAAGACCATCAGAATATCTCAGACTGTGGAGTGTTACTGCAGTCCTCAGCTCTCCTTGCAGGCACAAATGCGTCTTCACGAAAAACTGAAGGTATTTGAACACACCACTTTTTTTTATTCAGGCATTTTTTATCGTATAGTTAGAATTGTACTAATTTGTTTGTTTCAGAAATCTAGACTAACTAATATCATTGTGGACACTGGGGTGGTTTGCAGCCAGATTTGAAAGAACCAGCCTTTGTTGATTGCTTAGTTTGAGTTTAGTATGGAGCCATGAACCTCAGAAAAGGAAAACCAGGTTCTTCTTTCATTTGTGGGAACAATTTGCTGCTTCAAACTGATCAGTAAGTAAATCAGGATTTTGTTCTTGGGTGGAGGAGAAACAAACTGGGTGACAGATGGGCAGAATAGAACAGTCCCTGCAGGGTTGTTGGTACTTTACCATTATGTAGGTTGTCATCTTAAGACAGGTATATATATAAAAAAACAAGTTAATGGTTTAAATCACAGATGACTGGATGGATGGAGTCAGAGAGCAGTGTGGTGATTATCAAGATGGTTCCCAGTTAAAATCCTCGCTGGGGGCTTTTCTGTGAATACTTTAGATGTTCTCCCTATGATGTCCATGTGTGGGTTCTCTTTGAGTATTCTGGCTTCTAAATTGACCATGAAAGAGAATATAAGTGTGCATCGTTGTCTGTTTAATTTCTCTATGTGTGGACCTTTAGAAAAAGATGATTGATTGATGGATGGAGGATTAAACATGTCGAAAAATTGAGTTTTCTACAGCAAAGCTGATGATTTAAATCTTAATTCATGTTTACATATTACGGCATTTAGCTTCTTCTTGAGGAGACACAATCTTCTGAGGCAGAGTGGGATGAACTGAGTCAAATCACCCTTTCACTGAGTGGAATCATCAGCCCTGGTGCTGTGGTCATCCTCGCCCAATGGCTGGACAGACAGAGGGAGTGGTGAGACACCAGCACCCAGGCATATAGATTTAACCATATAGAAATATAATAGTTATCAAACACCGATTATCTGTTGTTTGTTTTTGTTTTTAGCTGGAACGAAGTGGCGGGAGCTTTGAGTGGTCAGCTTCTGATGAGTCAGCGTATTCTGGTGGTTTGGGAAGTCTATGCGCAGGTCACAGAGTCTCTGTCCAAACAACTGCAAACACTTCAAGGAGAGGTATCCTCAGTTCTAAACGCCATAAGTGTACAAGACAACACTGTCGACATGGTCACTGTCAACATTCACAATGTCCAGGTGAGGCCATAACCAGACACCATAATTGTAGTTTAACTGATATCAAAATCTTTCTGATGTTTTTTTTTTTTACAGTAGCTAATTTTTTTAGGGCAGGACTTTTATTATTATCTTCTTTATTTCTTATCATTTGATACTTCTTGCCTGGCCTCAATGGCTGTGAAAAAAACAAATACTTAACCCTATAATGCCAAATGTATCATAATTTATTCAGACGGTTTCTGAAGTCGTTTGGATCTGAGACTTTTTGCATCATTCAGTGGTAAAAGTTTTGCTCAAACCCCTCTTGTACACGTTCAGATATACCTGATAACAGCCAGTAGAAGACTACACCAAAATATATTTTTGACTTATTCCACGCTAATTTGATCAAAATCATTTCTGTTTTTGTTTCTTCATCTGTTGTCGAGGGGCCAAAGTAATACTACAGACTAAAAAAAATCAAATATTCTTCCTATTTTTCTTGGATCAGGCTTTAAAGGGTTCAAATCCTTTGGAAAAAAAACAATGCAAGTTAATGTTGAAGCATGTAAAGAAAAACAAAGGTTCATCCTGAGGGGTCCAGTCATACTTTATTTAGCTGTGTTGACTCTAAATTTGCACTCTGGCCCTGATTAGTTGCTGTTCTTATTTCCTCAGGGTTAAGTTTTACCCCGCGCATGAATTCCAGCTGCTGAGCAGCATCATGTCATTAAATACATGTCCATACCTTTCCGTTTCAGAGTCTGTTAGATAGAAGCAACACTGTGCAGTCTGACCTGGAATGGTTGCTGAAAGCCTCCAAAGACTTGATCGGCCACCTCGAACCTGCAGCCGTCGGTTTGGTCCAATCGGAGACTCGTCTGCTGTCACGTGGTTTCCTGCAGCTCAGCCAGCAGCTGTCAGGGAGGCTGGGTCAACTGCAGGTACTGATTATCGAATTAATCATTTGGTTTGTGGAATTTTGAGACGTTGGGACTGGATTTATTTTTCTTTTTAATCTCTGTGATATTCAGAGCAAATATTTCATTTGGAAGATTATGTTTCACTATGCTAATCTAAGTACAGAGTTTGCAGGTAAACTAGACTCTTTTCTCTTGGAACCTTTAGTAATTGCAATTCCATTTCGTAATATGGACGAATATAAAACACTACATTGTAACACCTACTGTTATTTAGCTCCACCTTTTGCCGTTTGTAGGTGATATTCTTAACCTGACCTAATGTCCCGGTGACCTATAATTAGACGCATATGGCCTCGTGCCATGTGTCCTGTTTGTGTGTAGGAGGAGCTTAAGCAGAGGCAGGAGTTTGAAAATGCCCTGGAGTCATTGGAAGGGAATCTTGTGGTTTGGCAGCAACGTCTGGAGAATGTGGCTCAGACAGACAAGGTGAGCCAATACAATTTCATGAATGGCTGCTAAACTTTTTTTAAATCAATACGATTCCTCCAAAGAAAATACTTTGATGTACTTATGTGTTGTGTTGTTATGTTGAATGTAGTGTAACTTGAATTTGGAGAGAGATTTAAGAGCAGATGAATGCTGTTTTTCTTTTATTCTTATTTTTTAACCCAACATATTTTTCATATAAATAGTTAATTGGTTCTGTTATTTTTTAGTGATATGTTTTTGTTTTGAAGTACAAGGTTAAAACAACTTTTGTCCTATGGAGCAACAACGTGACACAGATTTCTTCCACAGATTAAAAAAATGGTTTAATCAATCTCAAATAGTACCAATTTCCATTTTTAAAGTTTTTGGTGTTCCGTTGGAAAATACTTTCGTGACAAAATTTTGAAACTTCAGTTTCGAACATTCAATTCAGATTAAAATTTTTGTAAAGACTAAATAAGATTAAAGTTAGCATTGAGATGTATTGTCTTCCTTTTGAATTTACACTTTAAAAAATAATTTCTAAAGTGAAAGACAAACTTAAAATATAAACTAACTATGGGCAGATAACGCATGGCAGAGTTGAGAATGTCACCTTTAGCTCTTCCGCTGTGATGTCACATGTGTAGTTGACCAGACAGGTGTTATCCCTTTTGATGCCACCATATGTTTCCAGTCTGGCCTCCTGGAGCTGAGCAGCCTGTCTGCTGACCTGGATGTGCTGAATGAGCTGAGCTGTAGCCTGACTCTGGGTGACGCTGCCGCTCGCCGCCTGCAGCGCCTGAACCGCTGCTGGTCAAACGCCTCCGTCGCAGCCGAAGAGGCCTGCAGGTCAGAGAGACGAAGCTTAACTCATTGACTGCCGGCCATTTTCAGAACAGAGTCCCATACTGCCAAAGTTTATTTTTAGCATTTTGACTGATTTTTCAAGAGCCGCAGAATAGTTTGTGCTATGACTATGTAAACACCGAACACACCAAAAGAAAGAGTAGACTCTCTTCTTTCATCAGGAAAAAAAAATTGTTTCTACCTTATTCCGTTCTCCCTCGACTTGCGTCTCACCGGCGACATGTTCTCTCATATCGAACCGTTACCTTTTTCTTATTTGCCTACAGTCTATGCTAATCTCACATCAAAACCCAGAGGGTCAATTTGTTAGTACATACTCTTTCTAGAAGCCTGATATTTACGGACAAGCTTTATCAGATCGTCCCCCAAGCCACTCTCGTTAAAAAACAAAAAAGACGTCTATAGACGTCTTTGGCAGTCAACGGTTGTATTTGAATTGACGTCTATAGACGTCTTTGGCAGCCAATGAGTTCTTAACTCCGATCCAGTGACAAAATGAGCTCGTGAAAGGGCAAATCTCTCATAATGCAAAATGGTATCAAACCAATTATTCCCTATTAGTCTTATTCTCTGACAACACAATAATCCACGATGTAGTCAACGTGTTTGATTTGAAGATCTTTAGCTTTTGTTGTAAGCCATTTTAAATCCAACAATTTACGTCATCTTGCATACTTTATATTTTTTTTGTGCTCAGTGAGCATCAGGTGGAGGCACTCAGGCAGCAGACGTTCGAGCAGAAGTGTGAGAGCTGGATGTCGTTTCTGCAGAGGATGGAAGACGGTCTGGCCGTGGATGTCTCTGGCTCTTACCTCGGTCTAAGACAGCAATTCTGCACACATAAGGTATATCGCACGTGGTTACCGTTTCAATATAACAAACTGGAAAACACAAACTGGGTGCTAAAACACGCGACTATTACATGTTTGGGTTGTAGCGATTTCAGGCCGAGCTTTCCACCGGTCACCAGATTCTTCATTCAGTCATCACTGAAGCACTTCATCTGCTGCAGAAAGGAGAGGTAGAAGACAGGTGAGATGTTTACACTTTCAAGCATCTTCTCATAAAAAATTCTCTGAAAAACTACCATCATAAGCTGCTGGAACATAGAGATCTATGTTCAATGTATGCAATTTAGGATCTAAATCCTGTTTAGATACATTTTCTTCAAAAGATCATTAGAAGTGATCTTAGAAGTTAGAAGTGATCTAACCCTAACCCTAACCCTAACCCTAACCCTACTCTTTAAGGTACTATTGGCTGTATCGCAGTTTGACATTCACTTCTTCACTTTGTTTTTCATGATCCAGGAGTGACTTTATTCTGAAGCTGGCACAGCTCAGAGAGCACTGGCAGGGAGCGTTGCAGCGGACTGACCAGCGGCGCTCGTTGGTCGAGGGGCTGCTAAAGCACTGGCATCTGTACGGCCACAGCCTGAGGAAACTGCAGAGGTTCTTGTCAGAAACACAGACCCTCCTCCCCCCCGTTGGGCCAGCCCGCTACAGCCTGCAACAACTCAGACGCTCCTTCCAGGACCTCCAGGTGGGGATGGATGGATTAATGTGCTAGTTAATTACAGATTGACGAAGCATAGAAACACTGGATTATTTTTAGGATCAGCAATTCCATGGGACATAAAAGAAGGTTAATTACCAAGTCTCTTTACATTTGGTTGTGGATATTCAGATATTTTCTGAATGCAACTTATCCAGAACAGAGTAATGCATTTAAACCTTTTACAGCACTCTAGCGGAACCTAAACTGCCGATCACAAATTCATAGTTATTCATTTTCATCATATATGACCTACATTTTTCTCTGAATTTGTAATACTTCCTTTGGTCTAAACCACAAAACCAAACCAAACAATAAAAGTATGACTGAAAACATTTAATTTTCTTGGTTTTTCAGCTCCAGAATCTTGTGCCCATGTAAAAAAAAGAAAAGTATTTCCTTGCTTATTTTTCTTTGAAAAAAACTCTTCCATGTTGAAATTTGCATTACATAAAACTGATGAATGTGTTATAACCCATCTATAACATGGCCGGTGTAAATGCCATAACGTTTATACGGAGGAGTTTTTCTTTTTTGTCAGACAACCAGGTTTATTCTCCATCCAGCCAACAATTATCCAAGGTCTACAACTTTTTAACATCTTTGGAGCTGTTGGGATTTCAAACAATGAATGTTAGGAAATGGGGCGTCTTCTTATCACAGAAAAACTACACAGAACAGATATAATTGAATGTTTCCTTGTCTCATTGTCTTAAACTTTAAGGTTTCTACCTGCAGAATTTTGACCCAGAGAAATTAGTCTGGGAAAACTTAGCAGAAAGTTAAAATTTTATTTTTAGAAAATCATTGTTTTGCCAAATTAACTTTGACTTTCACAGAAAAGGAACTGATTAAGCAAACTATTCTGACTCATTGTATTTAAGTAGGAAAAAACATGTTAGAATAGAAAAAGTCTTTCTATTTAAATTTCTTCAAGCCTTTTATAATCAAGACAAGACAACTGATTTGATTTGATTGTGAGGGTAAAATACAATAGGCTTAGCATATTCAGACCTGCTCCCAATAATAGCTTTCCAAATTTTCTTAACACAACCTATTACTCATTAAACCATGAACAATGTGTGCTCTCTCTTCACCATCTCTCTTTTTTATTTTCTTACCCCTTATACCTTCAACCACAGCACACAGAGCTGTTGTTCCAGAGGTATCAGAGCACTTTCATTCACACTCTGGAGGTAGGCCGACATCTGTTCTCCATGGGAAATGAGGAGACCCAAACTCAGCTGCAGATGGATCTGGGGACACTGCAGGAAGAATGGGATAGCCTTCACAGCCTGCTGGGCAGAAGAATGGATCTCACTGAGGCCATCATAAAGGTAACCAAGTCAAACTTTATCAACCACATATATGTGATTGAGCAGAAATTGTATAACCTTTTCATTTAAAAACTAGCTTGGAGATAAAGAACAATTTAAGAAGAAGGTGGACTTATGTACAATTTCTGTGTTGCGCCTGTTAGTTTTATATTTAATTTTCTGTTGTTATTTTGTCCTTTTATTTCTTTTTTTGCCTTTTCTGGAGGTAAATGAAGTGAAACTTGGTTTGATCACCTGATTCATGTTTTTATTTCACCAAATCAGATCAATTTTTTAAACTTTACCTGCCTTGTTAGGCTTCCCAGGCAGAGTAAGTGTTGAATTGATATTCAGTTACAACAGCTTGGTTTGACTCCTTCAATTTCCCTTCTCTTGAGTTCACTCTGAAAATAGCCCTCTCTATTTTATCCACTTTTCTCTTTTGAATCTTTAATATGCAATGAAATGTGGTTATTTGATTCTCTCAAATATTTTGATTATTATTTAATTATATTTTTTTGGACAATCACATCACTACTCACTAAGCCTCTTGACCTTCCTTTTGTAAATCTTCTTCAGATCAAAAATTGAGAATCCGAGCAAACTACAAAACTGTTAACTTTTCGTATTCACAGTCCTGAATCAGGAGCTTAATTAAGACAAGAATTTTATAATTTCATTCATTCCAAAAAGCACATTTTCATTCAAACTATAGAGTCAACTAAGTGAAGACAAGCAACCACGTTAATCCAATCTGCTGGAGATGTTTAGAAAGTAAAAAAGAAAGAAGTGTAATCAGTCACTCATTACTGTGAATTCCAATCCGTTGTGTGAGGTCTCAATATTACTTTTAATCCGTGTTTCAGAACTGGGAACGCTGTGAAGCTGGAATTGCAGACAGCATGTTGCAACTAAAAGACATGAAGACCCGACTGAACCAGTCAATGCCAGAATGTGATGCGGACCTTCAGAGTGCAGAGAAATTTTATAAGGTACATTCTACAACAGCTGGCCACATACGTAAATGAATAAATCAGAACGCAGGACTCGCTGGAATCCATCAAAGTCTTTAACACATACAACAGGCATTCTTCAGGCAAAAGTGATCCTAATATGCACTTAAAAACACCACTAGGTGGTAATAAATAAAGTGGGAACTTTGAGAATATCTTTTCAAAGTTAAAAATTTCATAGATTAAAGAAACTACTGGATAGTTCTATTTGACAGCTATACATTTTTATTACATTTAGAATATTTAAATTTTATTTGTAGACATATATCTGTTCCAAGCAACAAAAAAAAACAACCTATAAGCTGATAAAAGTGAAAATGATGACATCTGTTCATCACAAGCAAGTCTATTAACTAATGGTAGATCAATCTTCGGGCAGTTTTAGTTCGTTCGTATCTTATCTTTTGGAAACTAAAGTCCACTTGGGTCCCAAGTGGTCAATGTCAAGTTTAAAAAAAAAAAAAGGTTTTATTCACAACTCATCCACTGACCCATCAGAGTCTTTATCCTCCATGCATCCCTTCCTGAACTCCCTCCCCCTTAAACAATCACCCCTCCCCCCAGCCCGGCCTGCAGCCTGTGGCCCTTAATCCTCTCTCGGGGCGGGGAGATAAAGAGAAAAGGGTGACAGAATATATAGGGAGTAATAGAAAAAGGGTTGGAGCAGAGGGACAGTAAGGATTTGCAGTGAGAGTGAGCCGTGGAGGAGGGTCCCTGACGGGTTTGTGTTTGTGGTATGCAGGAGAACGAGGACTCCCTGGAGGACTGGGCTGAAAGCCTGACGGAGCTGAGCACCATGAAGACGGATCTGTCTCAGTACATCATCGCGGACGATGTCCTGCTGCTGCAGGAGCAGGTGGAGGACCTACACTGCCAGTGGGAGGAACTCTGCGTAAAGGTCAGTCTGCTGAAACTAAGAGTGCAATTTTCAAGTTCTCCAGGCTTCCCTTTTTCGTCTAAATATCCAGCAGTTACTTCTTTTGCACGCTGCTTTGTATTTGTTATTATTCTTCCCTTACACTCTGGTTTTGTTTAAAGTTATGTACCAATTCCTTTATTTTGGTGGATTTCATTCTACTAGTGTTCATTGGTACGTAGTGTAAGAAATATTAACTTTTTCATTTAACAAAATGAGTCATGCTGATGGTTTTAAAAACAATTTCAACTTAGTTCATTAAAAAAATGTTTTTTTTTTATTCTTTATACAGTCATTTTGCTTAAGTGAAATAAATTAATTACTCAAAACATCACAACCTAACCATATCTGATTGCAACTGTTATGCTAAATTAAGTGTCACTGCGATGTATGGGTTTTCGGGACAAGTAGTAGTTTCTCAGTTGTGCGTTGACAACAGTGTGGTACGGTGAAAGAGACAACTTCAGTCAAACCTTTTTGGGCCGCGTGATCAACATCTGTTATTGGATTGGAGCCGGTCAGGTGACATAACTGAGATGTTCAAACTGCTTCAGGATGAAGAGACAAAGGCCTTCTTAGTGTGAAGAAAAAAATAAACTCAATTTTCACTATTCAGTCAAAAGTTGTTTTCAAAATAGAATCTGAGAGTCGTCTTACATGCTTGAATCTCTTCCCCCTTTGCTGTATGTGCTGTTCTATGTCTGAGCAATGAATCAGGAGTAGATCTTTGTGAGTCCTGAAAGAGACCAACAGGTCTAGTTGGGGGGTGACAGTGCAGGGGGGAATAGAGCATTGTTAGAATAGAGGAACAGATGGTAAAAGTGGAGAGAAGTGGGAATGAGCAGAGGGGCTTGTCATGAATTTAATTTGGGAAATAGGTTGTTGCTCATTGCTGAGAGTGGTATTATTAGCTAATCATCAGTCCAAAATGTACTGGTTTGAAGCAGATAACTGCGTAAAGCACCAATCGTGGGATTCTTTCTATTGTTTTGAAACTTTTCCAAAGCACCCTTGAGTAGAGAAGACGGTTTTGTCTATCAGAAAATTGTAAAATGCATTATCAATGTATATTCCTTTCAGAAAAAGCATTAAGTTAGCAAACATTCTATGTATAATCGACTACATAAGCCAACCGAGCTGCATATGTGGACATTGAATTAAGATATAGCTTAGACATATAGAGTAGCATCTTACAGCGACAAAGCTTATTGCATTTATTTTGTCTTCTGATCCTCTTTGCGTCAGGTGTCTCTGCGTAAACAGGAGATCGCCGACCGTCTGAACGCGTGGATCATCTTCAACGAGAAGAACAAGGAGCTTTGCGAGTGGCTCACACAGATGGAGAACAAAGTAGCGCACAACTCGGACCTCAACATTGAAGAAATGGTGGAAAAGCTCAAGAAGGTCAGAAGCAACAGCATAGACAGAATCACTTGAACCCTGCCATCGTATTAGCAAATTGTTCGAATCATTAGTAAATAAATATTGCTTTGCATACTTGTTTGACAAGTGTGATCAAATGTTAACCTTTTGCAGAGTGCATAAGGAAGTAAGATGTTAAGAATATGAACTCAAGACAGTCAGTTCCATTTAAACTGTTATTTTGAGCCATTTCTGTTACTCAGTTTGATGAGCTATACAGTTGAACTGGAGGGTGGAGCTGGGTGTTTTCAAAAAGCTTCGAACTCCCCCTTAAGAGTTAAAGATAAGACAGCTGTTTTTGCCCAACAAGGCCATGCAGGGTTGTTTTTTTGTTTAACTCGTGGTCCCTTTTCATTTGTTATGGTGTGCATGGGGGTGTGTAGGGCAGTAAAGGCAACAGCTACTGCTATTGAGACACAAAGTCCTGAGACCCCTGAGAGAGAGCTGTAAATCTTTTCAAGACTTTTGTCAACCTCATGCTCTCAACTGTGGGTTAGATCCTGCAATTTAACTCGTAACCAAATGAATGAAAACATACACATGTATGTAATATTTCCAATTTGTCTCTTCCAAAGGACTGTATGGAGGAAATCAACCTATTTAGTGAGAATAAAACCCACCTAAAGCAGCTTGGAGAACAGCTCATCACCGCCAGCAACAAGACCAAGGAAACAGAAATCAACGAGAAGCTGAAGGACGTCAACGATCGCTGGCAGCATTTGTTCGATCACATAGAGGCCAGGTAAGAACAGATAGAAAAATTGTTTTTTTGAAAAAGTAAAGATCACGGTGCGGCACCATTGCTAAGATGTAAGCTTGAGACGATGGATTTTACCTAAAAAACTCAGGAGTTTTCATGTATTTATTACTAAAGGAGTCATGGTTGATGTGGTATGTGGAGTTTGACAATGTGGTATGTGGATTTTTTTTTTTTTTTTTTTGGCATTTTTTTTTGGCTTTCCAAAATGTTACACACCTATGGTTGATGTGGGGTTAAGCTCTTTTTTTGGTACTGTTCTAAGGACTAGTGGAGGGTTATGGGGACAGGAAGTCGAGAAATGGGCTGTTTACCTTTGTGATTATTATTTTTTTGGTTGTATTTGCAGATGTACAGCAGATCAGAATTACCCTCAACAAATGTGAATATTCACAGTTACAGTCTTTTAATTGTTCAATGTTGATGGTAAAATAAATCATTCATAGACATGTTATAGACGGAGTAGCACCATCTCTAAACATTGATGTAAACATATCATTGTAATGTTTTTATGCTTACCAAGTTACTTTGGTACTTGTGTGTTAACATAATTATCATCTTCCATATGTCACCTGCTCACTTAGAAATAAGAATGTTTGTGAAGAATTTCATATTAATGTAAAAAAGACAGCATACAGTTTTGTTTTCTAGTTTTAGACTGAGATGGCTTATGGCTGTTGCAGCCTGTTTTGTCGGTTTTTTCTTTTTTTGGTAGTTTTGGTAGTTTCAGTGCTTCTGTTAATCAGTTACCTATTCTTAGCAGGAAACACGATGCTGTTTGCATTGAGTCATTCCATAAAGAACTGCATTAAACTGTTGTCAGAGCCCAGCTGCAGATTAAGCCAGCAGAAGCTCAGTATAGCAGAGGATAAAGTTAAAATAATCCAGAAATGCCATTTTAATTCCAACACAGGCTAGGTTGGTAGCATGGAGGTGGTTCAGTGTTGGTGCATCAACTCAGTGCAATAAACTTGCATCGTGTCCTCATATAACCTCAAAGTGCTTTCAAGCTTTTACCAAAAGAAAAAAAAAATGCGAAAAATCTCAGATCATCCACGTATTCTTTATGTCTATCTAGTGTTTGAAGACCAACTGTCGCAATTTACCATGCCAAGACTTAATAAACACGTATATTAGAATTATATTGGTGTTTCTCCTAGTGCATGTAAAAACCAGTGAAGAAGCTGTATTAGATATAATTGATTTACGTTATAAATTCCAGTTCTATGGAATAATGTTAGTGGTATTGGGAAAACCTTAGCTTTTTGTTATGAACGTGCCAGTGTGTTTTATGAAAATATATGTTTCGTCCAAACTAATATACAACAACGTTTTACACAACATACCAAGTACTACAACAACTGGTATTTCCATGTGTATGGCAAAAAATCATTGCAGCAATTTTAGCGCACCATTGGCTTGATATTTTTATATTTCTGCCATTTCTGTGCCGAGCCTTTTAATCAAAACAAGCATGATGTGTTTAGCTGTTTTTAGCTGTTGACTGTTGAAAACAGGTGTTACTTAATTGCTGAGTTATATGATAACTGAGATATGACACACATTTACTTAATTAGAATTACAGAATGATTGTTTTTAAGATTTGACTGAAGTATTTGACTGCTTTCCTGTGAATGATGAGTTTCAGATTTCTCATATAATATAGCTGTTTAAAATATGTAAAAGGAAAAAAAAGAAAATCTAATTTAAAATGGTATTTTACTTATTTTAGTCTTGTGACTTTAACTCATTCATCTCTGAATGCTATACTTGTTGCGTGAGAGCAAAAAAGATTCCATACTTATTAGATAGCGGGAAGATATTATCCACTGAGTAAATTAGAGCAAAGCTAAACTTAGAGAGCTTCTCTTTTTCTTTTTAACCTTGATTGGTTTAACAAGTGTGGACGGGGGCATGGAAGTGCCTTATCCTCCATTAGAATGACTGACTTAGAACTGCCATATGGACACTTCTTAGTGACCAAGTGACCAATTTACTTCTTTGGCTCTGTTTTATTTGAATACAGAAACTGGTTACAACCTAAATTCATATCTTTATCAATATAATTTTTCAAATAACTGAGTTTTATTTGATTAAAATTGTGGATTCTGGCTCAATATTCACCAGAACCTTTGTTTGAAGCAAAAGACAGAATCTGTAGGCCCAGCTATGTTACAGTGGACAAAGGTCAGTGGACATGTATGGCTTCCGTAACAATAGAAACGTGACACTTCATTTACAACTAGATTTGCTTTCCTCCCCTCTCCTCAGATGCTTTAACCCACACTCCTGATTTGTTGACAGGAGCTGTTCTGATATTTATGTCTTCAACTGTAGCAATTTGAAAAAACAAACCTTTTCTCATTAAGCTGACATTACAAATTAAGGTTTGTGTTGGGATGTGTGAAAGGTTAGTTTGTGATAATAGAACACTGGCGTCTGAATTGCCTTTTGTATAATCAAGGTAATTATTAAAGGTCTGACATAATTATACAATATTATGCTCCTCATCCAACAAAAAGCCACTATGGGATTTGAGACTTGGAATACACAGCACCTTAGAGAGGGGGATAAAAACACACTAAGCTGATAAACGAGGGGAGTGTCCCTGCACAGTGGTCAGTTCAAGCAGCTTAACATGATCTGAGAAACATGTCAATCTCTTTTTTGCTACGTTGTTCTCGTTTGAAAACCACTGGAGTGGTTTCAGAAAGCAGCGATTTTTACCTGAAGCGAGGCAATTGATTTAAGACGGCCTCCATAAGTAAACTTGTTTTCCCGCGTCTGCCTCAGAGTCTGGCGTAGCAACAAGTGTCATAGCACAGAAAGTAGAGACAGAGCCAAAGTTGCTTTGTAGATCAGTGGGCTTCAGTCCTTACTTATCATCTAAGCAGTCTAATCCAGCAAGACTTCCTAGCCTGTCAGTCAACAGATTCACCGTTCACCAAGCTGAAATTTTAGTTCAGATCAATTCAGTCTGTCATTTATGATCCCAAAATCACGACATATGTCATATAAATGGACAAGAAATAAATAATCCAATCCAATCAATTTAATTATGATTGTTTATATAAAAACAAATCACATTAAACATTTATGAAGTGCAATTTAAAAGTCCATTCCAGTTATTTTTTTTTTAAACATATAATACATTTTCCACCCCTAGACTGATTTACCAGGCCATCATATTTATGCACGCTTATACTCACTCCAAGGCTCAAGTTGGAATAAACTCTTAAATCATTTTCATTGACAGCTTGAATATAGACATCACCCTCACAGATCTGCTGTGAGTCAATGGTTTGCTGTTTGCTTGATATGTTCTATTTGCACTCCCGGAATCCTACGCTACTGTGTCACATATTTGGATAAGCGCTGATGGAGCTCAAGTGGAGCTGATTCAGAATCAGTGATGACTGGGGACATCCCTCGGCCTTTTGTCTGCATCTCGCCTCACCAAGTTAGATGAGATGACGGCTGAGGTTTGACTTGCGGAGGGGATTAGACGCGTTGACAGTGGCCTGCTGCTCGCCTTTGTCACCCAAAACAAACCGGGTGCTCCGTCACCGAGCCCCAGCAGCTGCCGTCTGCTGACTCGGGCCTTTTGTTGCCGATTGGGCCCTCGGCGACAGGGGCCCACCTTTTCTAACGCTGCCCTTTGTCTGAGCAGATGTTGTCTTGGAGAAAAAAAAAAAGCAGTCTCCTCCACCACCTCCTCCCTCACTCCTGCCACATATATACGAATTTCTTTATCATCACGCGGTGTTTTTGTTGCTAAATTACAGTTCTGCCGACGATTAATTTTCAAAAGAGTCCCGTTGTTTGGCTGTTTATCATCAACAACAAAGGAAATAACGAGGGAACACGCGGCTTTTCTTTTTAAGTTCTTTGCACGGCCAGTTGCCATGGCGATGATTCTTGTATTTATTGCATTTTTCTGTTGCCACAGTAATGTTTCATGCTTGAGCAAAGAATCGTGAAACTAAAGAATCGCATGAGTTGCTATTGGTATCTATGGCTAGAAAGTTTAAATATAACTCTGGGTTATGGCAAATTAAACAAAACAGATATTTTCTTATTCAAACTTCTGTATTTAAAGCTACTCGACAGTTTGCGTGTTCAATTTCTCCATACCTGATATTGATAGGGTGTGATAAGGATAATTTGCTCACTACTTTTTCACTATTTATGGGGGTGAAGGCGAGGTTTTACGAATAGTACATGTTATAGTTACATTTTCAAAACCAAAATATATTCTTTTCATAATTTAAAAAATAAAAATGCAAAACCAATACAACAATACAGCCACAAACATACCCAACTTTGTCGGTATTTACTACTACTATTTGACTAGAAGCCAATATTGCTTTTGTTTTTTGTTTTTTTAACTGGAAATCATTCAGACCTGTAAAATATGACTTGTCCTCACATCTCAGAGGTCCAGGCAGGTGGATTAAAAACTGAAGAGGCTTTCAAATAGTTCCCTGCTGGGTCTGTCTATGTCCGCAGTATGAGATCTGCTGGCTGTAAAGTGTGAGGCTGTATCCAGTGATGGTGCTAGACAGCTGCATCTATTGCAGGCCTTGACTAACTTTAATGGGCTGGTGTCTTTATCCTTACTTGCTATTGCAGGACAGGGTGGTCCTGAGGAGTAATGTCCTCTTTGTTTTACAAATAATATATTCTGTTTTTACTGTAGATGATTTCTTTTAGATTTTATCCAATGGCCAAATATATGCATTTAAAGATACAAAAGCAGAGGCACTAAAGTGTTTGTCAGTTGGGAGGTTGGTGGTTGAAGGAACGGATTATATTCTGTGTGATTGTGAGTGTGGACAGGTGAATGTGGCTTGCTCTGAAAACAGCATTTTCAGGGGTCAAATAAAACCAGAAAAGCAATAGTTGATTACAATCTGTCTGTTCATACTGACACAAACAACAGCAAACTCCAGAATTTCTAACTTATGAAAGGTGTCTTTTTTCCCCTTCTTTTAAAAAAATCTTTACCCTTTAGTAATTACTCAGATACAGTCCACAGGCTTTATGATTTGCTTTTATTTCTAATTTCGAAGGCAAAATATTATGCCTTTTAATTAGGCTAAGCTCCCTTTATCCCATTTAGATATTTGGCTTGGGTGTTTAAGGAAATTTTTTTTCTTTTTTTGTATTTCATACCTGTCTCCTTTTTAAATAGTAAATGGACTCTGCATAGCAAAACTTTTTTCTTTTGTCGCTATTTTGCTAATTAGTTTCAAGAGATTTTCAAAAGTAAATAAACGCGGTAGAACTCAAATATTTTGATTCCACAAGCAATTTTACCCCCCCAAAAAATGTCTCCCTTTTTTCGAATTATTTGATGTTTAAATTGGATGTGAAATTAAAATGATTTTTGACTGGTTTTAATCCATGGGCTCCCTGCATGTACGCTTGAGAATGCATGTGCGGGCATCCAGAGGTTTGTGAAGGCTGGGAGAGGATGGACAGAGGAGGAGCTGCTGGGTGGGGGAGAGGGATGGAGGAATAGTCGTTGCTAGCGGATGGGTCGTCGTTATGGAGTAACCTCCCTCGACCAGCCCGTAAGTACCCCTCATCCCGATCCCTTGTCGTGCTTCGACACAACCTGGCCTGGAGGGACGGGACGGGTGAAAGGAGAGCAAATCGGGGGGTTTTGTTATGATAAAGAGATGAGGGCGGGGGGGATGGGGATGGGATAGGCTTTGTCGGTGCACACATGCACGTAACCAGGCAGACACGCGCCAAATTCCTCAGAGCAAAATTCAGTCTAGCTTGGATTGTCATAAGTGTGGCGTGTGTGTGTTTTTGGTTGTGTTTTGCGAGGCGACAATGAGCCTTTTAACGGTAAACCATGATCACATCAGTTTGCAATTCTCACTGATGTTTTTTTCCCCCAACCTTCTTTCAACGGCAGACAGAAACTCATGCACATGCACAAACATGGGCATGCATGCATGCATGCAGCTGCAGGCAAAAATATAAAGGAGGTCAATCTTGCTGTATTATTGCATTATCAGCATCAATAATTCCTAATCCGTTGTTGTATGCTAGAGGCAACAATTGTCAGGAATGCAGCTTGTTGCTGCGTGGTCTCCCTGTTGCATCATGACGTTTGGATGGACAGTGGGCAACATTGACTGGCTTTAAAGTTTTTTTTATGTGAAAAGGCATCCCCGTTTACAATGACGATTGTGTGATTTTTGTTTCTGGTTGATCGCCTTTTTCCACAAATCTGTGATTTACTCATTGCTCAATCTAAAAATGACTTCAGGTAAACTGCTGGGAAATGTCCTCAAATTCTCCTTATCTGTTGCCTTGGTTGGAGGGAAATAAAGAAGACAAACAAAAATGGAAAAAGCATGAGAATTTGTCGAGCGAATCGGGACTAGCAGTCGTCTGGTAATGTGAATGTTCCTGGTTCGGCTTTTCAAAACATGTGTGTCCTTGGGCAAGATAGTGAAACCCACATAGCTTGCTTATGCGTATGGGAATGTTGTGGAACTGTCTAGGTGTAGTTTATAGACACTTTCAATGGCAAAGTAGACTTGAAAAGCAGCAGTATACAGTACAATATGAAGGAGATCCTGGTCGAAATCAATACTATCTGAAATAAGTTCTTGTCAATAACAAAAACAAAATCAAAATCAGCATTAGCCTTCAAAATGTAATAATATATATTTTTTAAATGTAATTTCTAAAGGCTTAAAAAAATATGATGTAATTATATTGAATTTTTTTCTAAACAAAATGACCCAAACTTTGTAACTAAGGGAGGAAAGCTATATTTGTACCAAGTCGATGGTCAGTAGATAGACTGAAAAAGTGTTGGAAAATGCTGCATTAAGTACAGTCCTTTTAACACAATTTCAGTGGTGTGATTCTACTTATTGTTAGTTTGTGAAGAAAGAATGAACTGATATAGGTCAGTGACCTGAGAGCTGAACTGGAATGCGGGCTCTCTCCCAGACAGCACGCAACTCCTAATCGGATGTAGGTCAGCCTTCTAACGGCTCCCGTTGTGTCACATCTCACAGAGATAGGTGGTTTCATCTCCCTTAATGCTAATGAGCACAATAACGAGACACAACAACCATATCGGTGCCTGTGCATTAACATAAAATCACAACAGAATTTGAATTTGGTGGTGGACATTTAAGCTCCTTTTATTGCTCATGAAATTAAACCCAAAGTTTTGTCGGAGACAGTAACCCTTTTTCCTGATGTGAACTTTTTTCCCACAGGGTGAGAAAGCTGAAGGAGACGCTGGTGACGGTGCAGCAGCTCGATAAGAACATGAGTAACCTGCGGACGTGGCTGTCCAGGATCGAGGCGGAGCTGGCCAAGCCGGTGGTCTACGACGTCTGCCACAGCGACGAGATCCAGAGGAAGCTGTCCGAGCAGCAGGTGGGCAAAACGCGGGGGCTTTTTTTGGTGTTGATGAGTTAACTTGTGAAATCCACTCGGTATTTTTTAAACGACACAAAAGTGACCATTCTTATCTGAGATCATGTATACTCACCTCCATCATCACACAAAGGCCTTCTCTGTCTTTTTTAAATGCCGAACAACAAAGTTCTTGTCAATCCTTTAAATAAATTAATAATATCTAATGATATTATAATCTGATATAATCTGATTTAGCCTTTTATATAAAAAAAAAGGCAAAATTAGTTCAATTCCGGGTAATATGTGTGTGTGTGAATATATATATATATATTTTATTTTTATTTTTTTTATTTTTGCCCCCTTTGTTTAAGGTTAGCTTTACTTTAGTTGTTATTTTAGAAACAGACTTGCTACTTGAGACTATTTATAATAAGCTCATTCGGGATAAGCAAGGGAGTAGATCCACTGACAAAAATATATTTTGCAGCCAGGTAAGATGAGTTCTCTCAAGTTTGTGATCTCAAGAATCTCAAAAGAATCAATCTAGGATTCAAGATTTTACTGATTGGCCTTAGCCCAGAGGCTAAGGCTTCCTGATATTAAATAATCAGACTATTTTCCAGAGTGAGGTAAAAAATAAGAAAGAAGATAAAGAGTAGAATAATGGAATTATCCTAGATTGTTTGGTATGCAGAAGAAAAAGGAGCATAATGTTAAGAGGAAAATTTAAATCAACCTTTGACATGGTGAAAAATTTTAGTTCTTTGCAGGTTTTAAAAGCTACCGAGCCTGAACGTCCTCGTTGTAAAGTAAAAAAAAAAAAAAGGCTTAAAAACCTCTTTTACAATGGCCTATGTTACAAAGTAAACTCCACTGTTAAGCGAGACACCACGCTTGGTTTAAAACCCTTTATATTACAGCAACCCTGCTGTTATCCAAAAGCACAAAAGCAGAGGAGTAAAGTAATGAATGCCGCAAAGCAAAATCTCAGCAATGTCCGAGCAGAAAGCTATTAGTGAGGGAGGAAGCTGCCACACTGAGCTGAGAGATGGTAAATGCACTGAGAGGCAGGACTCATGAGGGAGTCCAAAAAACTAAATTGGCTTATGCCTGTTAGTCCATTTGTTGTCTGCCCACCAGCTATTTTTTATTAAATGGCTGAAGTTTGCTGTTTTTAGAGAAAAGTGGAGGGGTGAAAAAGGTTTTTCCAAGAGATGAAGGACATCTGATTATTGTGGATAAAGGGGAATTGACTTGCATTTTTGTGGCACCAGTTTGATAATACGTACTGACTAAAAGATGTATCCACTGTGATGTCACTCAATGAGCTGCTGTTTGGAATGTAGCCATTGCCATACTGTTCTTTTTTTGTGCAAACCAGGAACTGGAAAGAATGGAGAAAAGGATAACAATGGTTAAAACAAACCATTTATATTAATAATTAAATTTAGCATGTAGCATCTGGTAATCATGATGTTTTATTCAATAAACACCAACAGACTTTTTAGAAGATTCCATTTGAGTTAATGGCTTTTTAAACTGCTAGGTGACTCAATACTAGATTACAAAATGCAATGCCGTTTTGAATGGTAGTGTGGTAGACAGCATAACATTAAATTATCTTTAGTTAATGTTGTGTCCATGTGATCTTTGTTAGCACAGAAGACCAATACCTACGTTCAAAAAACCTAGCAGCTCTAGCAGTTGTGAGAGAAACTGTCCATGAAAAGTAAATATGGTGCCTAAAACAGTGTGGTCACACTCTATCCCTGATCATTGTTTCCGTGTCCAAACTATGTAATTTAAATCTTAACCCTTCTTTCATGGCTGTATTTGTAATTCCAGCGAAAAAAATTACAAGATTCACATGTTGTGTTTACATGTGTGTTTACATGTAGCCAACATGTTACAGAATATTCAGTTAACCTATGATGCAAGTTTTTAGATGTTGAGTTGAAGCTGCAGAACCCAGAAGGAACCAGTGCGAGAACCCACACGGAGAACATTCAAACTTATAGGAGTGTGAACCATATTGGGTTTGCATTCGAACAGGGAATCCTCTTGCTGTTAAGCCATGATGCTAACCACCACACCACTGTGCCGCCCCAACTTCCAAATTGTAATTGTCATTTATTGTTGCCCGATCCAAAATTGATTTCTTACCCTAAACAAGTACTGGTGTCAGTATCCAATTGTGGACTGGAAGAATAGAGATTATTTAGTATTATAGTTATGTTTACATTGTTTTTTAACATAATCTATAAAGGTTAACTACAATCAAGTGCTTTTGACTCTTAATCTCAAGTCTACAAATTCATAAGATAAAAAGAAATTAATTTTTTTGGTAGTTTGGATGTTAAAGTTAAATGCTTCATTTAACCAGATATTGACAATAAAGAAGGTTGAAACACTTACTCTATACCAATAATTTTCTCTATTTTCGAAATTCATAAAAATCTTTGCAGGGACTGAAGTTTACTTGAAACCTGTTAAACAAATTTGACTTCAGTTACCTGTCTCAATTTTGACACATAAATGTCCGATGAGGGAAATGGTTCCAGTTATACCGGAGCGTAATAGAGACAGATGACAGACAGGAGGGGGGAAAAAAAGGAAAAGAATATATATAAATCAGTGAGAGTGAAGAAAATTTTGGAGCCAGCCTGCATTGAAAGAGACGGGACTTCTCCCGTTCTTCAGAAAAGGCTGCAGGTCTTTCCCATTAGAAGATGAGGGCTGGCTGAAATTGCTCTACGGATAGGCTGTTAAAGCTTTCACATATCACCATGGTAACGCAGAAAGTGGAAACTTTGAACAAACAAGATTGGATACAAGTGCTGTCGGTGCCCTGGAGATGGGCATTTATATAAATATATATATATATATATACATATATATATATCTATATATATATACACACACACACGTATGTAAAATTACTTGGCTTTACTAAAGATACCATATTCAAAATTTAGAGGGTTTTTGTAATAAGATAAATAAATGATAGATTATATTTATCATCAGAAGAGCTGTTATAAGGTTAAAAGTCACTGTTAAAAAGCAGATACAATACACATTCCAACTCATCTACCGCTCCACCACAGTCATGTGAGGACTTTGCTTCAAACAGAATTGGCCTTTTTTGCCCGTTTGTCCAGTTTTTGTCTGAAGTTCCTTTGCCCTGACTCTACTCCATTGGGCTTGTTGCTTTTGGTTGTGAATATCTTAGCCAAATTAAATACAAACATGTAGAAAACTGGGTCATTCCAAACAAACGAACAAACAAACCAAATCCATTATGTAGATCTGATGCATCTTTGTGGTGTTCCCTGCAGGATTTGCAGCGGGATATTGAGCAGCACACGGAGAGCGTGGCCTCAGTTCTGACGCTGTGTGACGTCCTGCTCCACGACGCTGATGCTTGCGGCAGCGACTTGGAGAATGACTCCATTCAACAGACCACGCGTAGCCTGGACCGCCGCTGGAGAAATATCTGTGCCATGTCCATGGAAAGGAGGATGAGGTTTGCAAAGCTTCTCTGAAAAAAAAAAAACGCACAATGAATAAAACAGAAATGCTTATTTTCATTATCAGGTTAGGTTTTCTAACAAAAACTGCTCCAGTGTAGTCCACTAAAACAGACACACAATTAGAAAATAATATCTTAACTACAGGATTTAGTCATCTCAGTTTATCCACTGTTTTTTGTGTTTACTTCAAAGGTCAGAAAGTGTCTTGTAAGTCTTGGAACTTTAGATATCTGGCATTTATTTGAAGTCTTATTATAAGCATTTAGATTAAGAAAAGTTATGTTTTTACCTCCCCGGATTATCATATTCAGACATTTCTTAACAAAAACGAGGCAGCTTTAATTGCTGGCTATTGGACCGATAATCAATTTGCCATGATACATGTATGTTTGTAGGGAAGCACAATGTCTTAACTTTTAGAAACCACTGACGTTTTTTTGAAGACACAAACTGCTGCAGAAATACGGTCTTGCAAAGGGTCCTTGTGTCATCCACGACACAGACAAAATATCCAAACTGCTATCAGGAAGTATTTAATAGAACTATCGGCCAAGCAACGCTGTCTCGCCATTCATCACTCATTAACCCAACTGTGCGCGCTGACCACCAATGCTACGGGACATCTTTAGATTCATAATAGACATCTGTTGGGCTTCCATTAGAATTTGCATTGCGAGTGTGTCAGAATTCAGGGACTTAAGACGTGCAATTACATACTTTTTTTAAAAACGCATATTAATGTAAATTATGAAGTTAAAGTCTAATAGAAAAAAAGTCTAATAGAAATCCTTTGAAACTGATGGTAACCCATCTCTCTTCCAGTTGCCTATACAACAATGATCAATCAAGTGCATGTTCTGAACCTGACTCTGATTTCCCTTTTAAAGGTAACCAAAACAGGATTTTCATTAAAAAGATGAAACTGATTATTCTGTTCTAGGATTGAGGAAACGTGGCGTCTTTGGTGCAAGTTCCTTGATGACTATTCTCGCTTTGAAGACTGGCTGAGAGCAGCTGAGCTCACTGCAGCCAGCCCCGATTCTGCCAACGTCCTCTACACCAGTGCCAAAGAAGAGCTCAAAAAGTTTGAGGTCAGCTGATTGTTAGCATCCATTCATTCGAAGCTGCACTTTGGAAAAACAGTGGTACTTTGCAACTATGTTTAATTTTTAAGGCAGTGGATATGTGTGTGTCGCACAGGTTACATATGTTTTATATTTTTATGAAATTGCATGAAAAGGTAAAGAAGCCTTGTGAATATAACTTTATTTTATTTTCTTGTAGAGCTATTTTGTATTTGTTTGGTTTGATACAGGCTTCTGAGTGGACAACTAATGTTGATTATTGAGGTTTTTGAATGTTTGCTCCTGGTCTGAATGGCTGTCCAGGCCCAGGTGTCCTGTGGCACAGAGACTCAGTAGTAGTGGTCGATGCATTTGTCTGGATTAAAGACGCAGATTACCAACTGCTAATCTGGGCTCTGCCACAGTGCCATCATCTATACAACCACAGCAAAAATAATGTTGCTTTTAGGATACCAAATATGCAATAGAACTCGTATAAAAAATGTTCATCTAGATGTCAGTTTTTAGGTTATTCATTCAGAAAATTTATGAAAAAGGTTCTTAATCCCCTCTTTGAAGCAGAATAAAACCCTATTTTGTGCTTTGGGCCAGTGCAACATGTTTTTTTCCTCTATTTTTTAATTCCGTCCACCCTGCATTTAGCATATTTGTTATTTATTCAATTTACTTCTTGAGGAATATTTTTATTTTGAGTGAATTCATCCCTATTAGTTACACAATTTATGTCACTGTGCTTGTTTAGAAGTAAAAATGTCAAGGAGCCATATTAACATTTTTTGCACAATCATTTTGAAATGGAATCCATATGAAGGCCTAAATTCTAGTTTAAGGTTGAACCTTGCCATGGTTTTGATGTCTGCATTTCATATTGTTGTACTCTTTAGAATCATTCTTTCACATCATTTACTTCAATAATATACATAATTAAACCCTTGTAAAATCAACGCTGAACTTTCCCATGTAGGCATTCCAGCGACAGGTCCATGAGCGGCTGACTCAGCTGGAGCTGGTCAACAAACAGTACCGCCGTCTGGCCAGAGAGAACCGCACTGACGCTGCCAGTAAGATCAAAGTCATGGTCCATGATGGAAACCAGCGATGGGACTTCCTACAGAGAAGGGTGGCAGCGGTCCTCCGCAGACTTAAGGTGAGACGATAGATCAAAATGATTTTCTCACCCAAATTTGAAGAAAATAACTAGATCGTGGCTGAATATGTTCATTTATCGAGGCTGAAAACAACTGAAATACAGGCATCAAATGTCTGATCTGTGTAGTATCTCCCTGCTTTTAGCTGCACCCTAAGCTGCTGGGATTTAGGTCACCTCTTAGGCCTTGGCAGCGTGCATTGCATCACATTTGCAGCAAACTGTTTTGATGACGGCACGTGATGTATAGCAGATGGGGAGCATGCATGCAGCTTCATGGAAATTTAGTGGAATCAAAAGGCTTCTGATCAGTGCTGCATACATTTATATTGCATATTACCTTTAACTTTGCCTTATTCACATGCTTTATGTGAAATAAACATCATATACAGTATATTAGATTCTAACAAAAGTTGTATTTAATTTGTGCATGATACTATACAGTCTTTTGAGATTGGAAAAAAAATCCAATGGACTGCTGAACCCTTAATGGTCAGCAAACAGAAGATTTTCAAAGCTGATTGTGTTTTTTATTTCTGCTTTCAAATCATGGCTTTCCTGGCTCTTTCAATCTTTATCACCCAAATGTAGTGCCCCTGTATTGATAAGGAAAGATGAAAAAGAGAAATATTTTGTTTTGTTTTTTTGCTTTTGCATGCTCATCTGGAATTTGAAAACATCAATAGAAATGGACAGCCATTTGTATATATTTATTTTGTATTATTATTCAAAGTTGTATTATATAAAGCTTTCACAGAAAGTCATGAGGCTTTTCCTTCTTCTTCTACTTTTTAGCGGTAAACCGGGCTACTCAAAATTCTCATTCTGTGTTCATACATAACTCTATGAGAGTTAGTATTTACATCACACTGCATGCAAAAAATCATTCAGACACTAAAATCATGATTTTTTTTCTCTTCAGCACTTTACCTCTCAAAGGGAGGACTTTGAAGGAACTCGGGAGGGAATCCTGGTCTGGCTCACAGAGATGGATCTTCAGCTAACAAACGTGGAGCACTTTTCTGAGAGCGATATTGAAGACAAGATGAGGCAGATGAATGTACGATTTTTCACACATTTCATCATATTCGTCATGGATACTTACTAAAAACACAGTTGGTATTCTAAAGTGTGCTCACCTGCTTACATATTACTGGTTATGCTTGGCCTCAACTTGTCATATCTTCTTTGTAGGGCTTCCAGCAAGAGATCACCCTGAACACTAACAAGATCGACGCACTGATTGTATTTGGGGAGAACCTAATTCAGAAGAGTTCTCCCCTGGATGCTGTGTTGATTGAGGACGAGCTTGAAGAGCTCCACTCCTACTGCCAGGAGGTGTTTGGAAGGGTGGCTCGCTTCCATCACCGTCTCGTCAACAGACGACCGGTCAGTAGTCTCAAAAGCAGGAGATAAATACATGTCTCTAAGATTGTTTTCAAGTAGAGTCCCTAGCTTTTCCGGATAGCCCGCTCCTCTGAGGATTACCTGGTAAAAGTCTTAAGTCTAATCAAGAAAAATTGATGTCTTAAACCTATGAAAGAACTGTCCCCCATGGACAAAAACTACATATCAACAGCTTCTCGAACTTCTTCGACATTCAGGTCCTAGACGAGGAGAGGGAGATGTCCGACCGCGACACGGACATGGACGACACCCCTGATCTGAACAACAGGATATCCTGGACAGAGGTGAAGAGGAAGAAGGAGGAGAACGAAGCTCCAGCAGCCGGGGGAGTCTCGCCTGGACGGCCGGCCATGTGCCAGCTCCTGGTACCTCCTCCGGAACGGTCAGGAAGAGAGACCCCCGTGAGCGTGGACTCTATCCCCCTGGAATGGGACCACACGGTGGACGTGGGAGGATCGTCATCACACGAAGACGATGAGGACGCCACTTTCTTCAGCTCTCTTTCGGGTAAGCCTCACATTTTCCTACAGTTAAAGATTTGATTGATACTATTTTCTAGAGCCAAACAAAGGACGTCTATAGATTGCCAGTTGGTTCTAGATATTATCTGCCAATGCTTTTTAGATCAGAATCAGCTTCCCAACTTTTTGCAAAGCTTCATCTGTACTTCAGTCATGCGCAGTTAACCTCCACTCTTTCTTCCAGATGTGAACGTGACAGAGAATTCAGACTCATTTGTTAAATCGACTGTCAGGGCAATGAAAGCAGCCTCGGGTAGGCTCTTTGCCTCCTGCATGAGTCTGAATCACTGTGTGGTTGTTTACAAAAGTCCTATCTCCTACCAACCCCACATCCATCCAGCTCCATCTAATTTAAACATCTGCCTCATCTTTTTTTGTTCCCCCCTTGATTCACACATATGGCTGTCCACCGATTCAAGTTATTGTTTTAGACAGGCACTGAAGGTTGTGTTACTTGCATGATACTCGGAATGGATTCCAAGCATTCCTTCAATCTTGTTTTTGCATGGTATCAAAATACATTTTAATTTCTGCACGTCATTTTTTTTGTGTCATCTGTAAATGATTTTATAAAGCCATTTTCCCTATACTTTCCCTATTATTGCTAATTTTATTTTAAATCGTATATTTCTTTTCTTTTTCCTCTTTTGTTACTCTATAGTAAAATCAGTGACTGACCCACCTAGCTGGCATCAGCCCATCTCTCCAGAAAGGAAACAAGTTCCTCGTGAAATCATCCAAAACCTGAGTTCATCTCCGACACGCATCGATTGTAGTCCTTTCCACCGGCAGGGCTACGTAAGAGAACACGCAAAGTTTGAATTATTTCCGCTCATAAAACCTTGCATTTCATCACGTTGGTTTCTGCGTGTGTCATCTGTGTTCAGGCTAAGCTGATGTCAGAGTGCAGTGGCAGCATCAACAGTGTAAAGAGAGTAAAATTACTTCTCAATGATGACGAGGAGCTTGAGTCTGCCGGTCTTACCAGCAGCACGGCGAACAAGCAGACCAGCACAGGTAAGAAGAGAGAGAAAATAACACCAGAGAGGGGTAACGGCAGCAACACAGATTAGGAAAAGGACACTTAAAAAATAAAAAAAGAAGATAAAAGAAGATAAGGTGCAGGTGGTATGACGATGGTAATGTTATTGTAACCAAACAGTATAGGGTCATAATAATATGACAGCATATGTGGTATATAATATAATTATATAAAATATGACATTTGATAATAATATTAACAAAAATGATAATAATAATAATGATAATACTAATAAAAATAACAATAATAATAATACTATGATCTATTGTCCACATACAGTGGGGGAAATAAGTATTTGACCCCTTGCTGATTTTGCAGGTTTGCCCACTTACAAAGAATGCAACGATCTATAATTTAATCATATGTACATTCTAACAGTGAAAGACAGAATCCCAAAGAAAATTCCAGAAAATCACATCATATGAATTTATAAAAATTGACAACCATCTAATGAGGAAAAACAAGAATTCTTTGTAAGTGGGCAAACCTGCAAAATCAGCAAGGGGTCAAATACTTATTTCCCCCACTGTAGATATTATATATAAATCAATACGGATAATGTTAACACATATCACATATGATATGAATTCAAGTGTTGTACAGGGTACACAGTGCAGAAGTGGCAGGTAGAATTAGTGCAGTTCAGTGATTGTGTCTCTGACATAGGCAGATGAGTTGTAGAGTCTTATTTCAGTAGGTAGGAACGATTTCCTGTATCGTTCCTCAGAGCAGTGGGGTTGAATGAGTCTGCTGCTGAATCTTTTTCCCAAATATCTTTGGAAGTAATTGCAACCTAAAAATAAGACTAATAAGATTTGGATGGGATTGCAGCTGAAAATCTTTCTTATTGCTTTCCATGCACTTCATTTCTAATTTTCAGTGGCTAAACTCAACTTAAATATCCACAATTGCTTATTAAATCTGGTAAATTAAGGCTGTGGCACAGAAAGTCATCCATATTTCCAAATACAGCCTCACCAACAGAACTAGAAGAGAAAGCAATGTTCCTTAGACCTTAATGGTCTAAGAAACAGGGGGTGCTTGAGCCTATCCCAGGTGATAACGGGTAAGAGGCGGGGCACACACAGTCCATCCCAGAGTGACACAGAGACAAACAACCACACACACTCACATTCACTCCTAGGGGCAATTTCCAAGTAACCTAACATGCATGTTTTTGAACGGTGGGAGGAAGTTGGAGTACTCGGAGAGAACCCATGCAAACACACAGAGAAAGGTGACAGTGCTAACTATCACACCACTGTGCTACCCACGAATCAACTTTTTACCTGAAAAATGTCATGTTTATAAAATAAAATATATATTAGAAGTCACAAAGAGATCAAGAACTGAATGAGTCTGGTAAATTCAAGATATTGATCTATTTTTTTTCCTGAGCAGAGCAGAAATGGGATTGATAGTGCTGTTAGCTGACTTCTGGTTTAGTGAGAACTGAGTGGTTCATCTTCACACACACACACACACACACACACACACACACACACATTTACAGAATAAACGAGGAAAGTAACCAATCTTTTTATAACTGCATCTTTGGCAGCTCAGTGTTTTAGAAAACCCCTTTTCACTGCTGATTATTTCTGAAAAAAATGCTTATAACTTGTTCGAGTTGCGATGCACTTTAAAGTTGCTGCAATGTACCACAACAAATAGAATGCACACCAAAAAAAGAAATAAAAGATGACAGGAAGGCTCCATCTGTTTCCTCTGACCCTCAGGTGTGATTGAGCGCTGGGAGCTGCTACAAGTGCAACGATTCACCAACGACTCGGACATCAAGCAGGACCTGGAACAGTGGCAGAAGCTGAACTCTGACCTTTGTGATGTCACGTCCTGGCTGGGCAGAGTGCTGCCAGAACTTGAGAGGCTACAGCGAATCGCTCCGTCCACCAGCATCAAAGACATCGAGTTCAATATAAAAAGGCTTAAGGTATCAACTTGGACGCCGGTTGTGGTCAGTAGTGAAGAAAAAGATAGAAATTAAAAACCAATTTCTTTCCTTTCATGTGAAAAGGAGATACAGAGAACCTTCAACAGCTACAAGTGTCTGATGATCTCCGTTAACTTGAGCGGCCGTCATTTCCTGCGGGGGGACAGCGTGGAGCTGCAGGAGCTGCAGGAGGCTCTAACATCTACCAATCAAAGCTGGACGCAGGCCTGCAGCGGTCTGGAGAGCTGGGAGAGCAAACTGCACTCAGCTCTGATGCAGTGTCAGGTTAGCCACAAAGCCACAAAATGCTTTATAAAGAATTTTCTGTTTTTTACAAGAATTGCAAACCATTTCATGAACTTTAAATAAAATCGTGGAAATGGCTTTCAATATCTTCGTCCATCTTTTGTCTTCTCAGGAGTTCCACGAAATGCTGCACACGCTGCTGATGTGGCTGTCCAAGGCCGAGGGCAAACTCTGTGCTGTAAACATTGAGGACCAGTCTGTTTCACCCACCTCTTTACTGGAGCACCGAGACACACTGATGGTGAGATGTCATAGGATGATGATATTATCCTGCCTGGGAGGAAAAGCACGCGTTTTCTAGAATGCTCTGATATTAGAAAGACGCTGAGACTGAGACAATCCATGTATGTCCTACAATTTATCTAAACAACCTACTGACTTACAATATGCGGTGAGTTGTTCCCGTAATTCCCTAAGTTGTCCCTCAACCTTGCCACAGTAAGAGCTTTTTCTCTATTTTCTAAGCTTTTTATGTTCCAAACTATATAGCTTTCATTTAAACAGAAGAACACCATAATATAACCAATATATTGTTATCAGTCTGCATATTTATTGTCTTATTATGCGTTAATTACCCACACTCAGCTAACTTAAAGATTTCCTATGGAAATATATCCTATGGCAAATGGATGCATTTAATTTTGCAAGTAATGCAAACACTGCACATGTTCACACTCGATAGCTACCGGTTTGTTAACAATCTCTATATTTATCAATGAAGGTTCGGGAGCCTGAATTGAAATCAATTTAGTCCCGTGGCATTACATAGATATTATAATTCAACAACGTTAATCGGTAGAAATTACACGAATAACGTTTGGTGCAACATCCTCCTCCTCAAGTCCCGGGCTCTCTGCTGCCCCCTGCAGGCTCTGCAGGAGGAGCTGCGCAGCAGACATCAGCAGGTGTCCGCGCTCCAGGACATCTCCTCCCAGCTCCTGCTGGAGGCCAGCGGCGAGGAGAGCGTGGAGGCCAAAGAGAAGGTCCACGTCATTGGCAACAAACTGCACCTGTTGGTACGACAGGCGGCCGCAGCCCTGACGTCAGTGCAGGGAAGAATGGTGAGGTCTATTTTTTACGCGCACTCATCTATTCAGTCAATATTTCAGGGCCTTGTTTTCGATTGACAAACTACTGTTTCTGCCCAAATAAAATAGCTGCTTAACCCTGATCAATGATTTTCCCCACATTAAATGTATAGATATGATACGAGGCCACACTTACTCTTACTGCTTAGTCTTTATTGCTCAATGTACGCTTTTAACTCAACTGGGAAGGGAAAGGTTTGTCAGTTTTAACAGCTTAGTTATTATTTCTTCTAAATCCCTTCAAACGAAACATCATTTAATGCCACTTATGGTGATAATGTCTAGTGAGTTGACATGACATTTTTTTACCATTTGATTTTTTTTTAACTTAAAAATCATTTAATAAAAAAAATGCTGACAAAAATTTCAATTAAATAAAAAAAACTAAATTTTATTCATTTTTAAAAAATATATATATATATACATTTTTTTTTTGTCAGAATATACAACAGTCTCAGTCTGCCATCTATGAGGTTATGAAGTAAAATAATCAACAAATCACTGACTGAATCTGAGTAACGTCATCACTGCTCTCTGACCCAATGTGGTCAATCCAATTTTGACCAGAATTCTGTCTTTATCTGGGATAAAAACCGAAATTGTACACAACCCAAGTCTTCGGCGTTCCTAAACAAAAGGTTACTGAAGGTCCCTGCTCAAAGTCGGTTGACTTTTGAACTGGTTTGGTCAGTCTTATCAGATTGTTTGAGTTTGTTTTGTGTCTGTGTCTCAGGAGGGCTGCTCAACAAGCTCTGCACTGGGCAGCCTGGGAACACTTAGTTCAGTCTGGATGCTACATAAGGTACATAATGTACCTCGGCATTTACAGAAAAAAAAAAAAACATTTTGAAAATTATTGTCTATGTCACAAATAATAGCCAAAGATAAGCTAATGGAATATCTATAAACACAGACTTTCTGAAATGCTTGAAATCTTCTCACAAGGCAGCTGTGAACAGCTGTACTTCAATTCAAATATTTTTCACAGAAAGAGACTCCTAAATTTGAAATCGAACATTTAAACTTGTCTAGCTTTTAATGGAAACAGGAATAATTATATGAATATTACCATATTATATGATTATTGCATAGTCATGTTGAATAAATTAATTAATTCATCTTCACGGTTAAGTCTGAAATTCTAATCTGTGAGCACATAGACATTGTAAAATAAAAACATTAGTATCAACCCAGGGGATGACTACTAAATTTGCTAAAGGAGTGTGCTTGCAAGACATTGAACTACACTTCAAGTTGTAGTTTTGCCGACAACTTTAAGTGTGTTTTACAGAACTTTTATACATTTACCTAGTCAAACTCATATATTCATACTGCACACCTTAGTCTACACTGTTTTGTTTTTTCAGTCTGCACCAAAAAATTGTTTTCCTCTATACAAACATTCATACACAGATGAATATGGTTTTGTTATGATGTTATTAATCGATAGAAACATGTAGTTCTGTTTTGTGTCAAAGACGCTTCAACATGTGGTCATGTTTCACACCCCTAACAGAAAGAATGAAGAATAACTGGTCACATTTTTTTCAGAAATTTTGAGATATGGTTTAACAAATCCCTGAAATGCTTTTTACTTCATACTTGTGTAATACTTGTAGAGGGACAGAAAAGTTATTCAAACTATTTGAATCGGTCATCTTTTTTTGGTAAAGTAAAACAAGGGAAAGCAATCCCATAGAGAAATGGCAAACTTTTTAATTTCTTCAACATCTCCTCTTCAAAGGAATTGAGAAAAAGCACCATGCTAAGTGAAGTGAGCGTATACAACATTTTTATTTATTAAAATGATTTTGAGAAAATTATTTTGTCTGTGCTTTCCACTCAGTTGGCCTGACAACTTAGGTGTTGTTTCTTTGTGTTTCCTTGTCTCCTTGCATTTCATTTTTTCACACAACAAGGCTAATCTTGTTGCGAAACAAGCTGTTGAGGGACAACTGTGACACCCAGAGTCGGACATAATGTAGAGTATCAAGTTGTGACCTTAATGGCTAATGCTAGCTGATTTAGCTAACATTTACTAAGAAATGCTATTATTGCTAATTGTGCTGATGTTAGCTTCGGTGTTTTGGTCAAGTATATACTTGTATTAAGTTCTTCTTGTCTTCATCAGTGTTAGTGTCAAGTATATAGCCAATGGAAGAAGATACCTTTCTGTTGTTTTGGTAATGTTTCAAAAAATGATGGAGACTTCTTGTTCTTCTGCCTTGGCAGGAAGCCCAATCACAGGCAGCTACAGTTGGACTTCCGGGAACTAAAAGGTAAATTTTGATTCAAAGTCAATTAGTTTAGAATTGTATATAGCCATATTACAGAAAAGTTAGTTAGGTTGTTTATTTTGGTCTTGTGGCCGGCTGAATTTTGTTATGTCGTCAACATCCTGGATAACATAAGAGGATATTCTTCTAATACTTAAGCCTCCTCAACTCATCCCTACTTGGAATAAGCCGGTATTGCAAATGGATGGATGGATTTCAGGGAGGACCAAGTTAAAATGATACATTACATTGTAACCATACTTTCCACCTGATTAGTAATGACAACATTTTCCTTGATACATATATTTTTGTCTGAGATTCACATGTTTTTACCCCAGATTTTAGTTTTGTGTTGACGTTGTCTTCACTCAGATTGTAAGATTGTAAGTTGGAAAAGAAAGTGAACATTAATGTCAATCTCTGATATTTTTTAAATTCAGGGAGGAGAGAAAGGACCCTTCCCCACAACGACCCTTCCTCTACCGGGTCTTGAGAGCTGCCTTCCCCCTCCATCTTCTCGTCCTCATGCTTCTGGTTCTGGTCTGCCTGGTGCCTCTATCAGATGAAGATCACAGCTGTACTCTGTCCAACAACTTTGCTCGATCATTTTACCCAATGCTGCACTACACCAATGGCCCTCCACCCACATGAACGACGCATGCAAACGGAGTTCATGGCATAGCTCTCAACCAAACCTAAGGTTGGAATCCAATAGAGTCCTTACCAGTGTTGAGGAGAAATTTCTTGGCATCCCTTCCCTCCACAAAAAAAAATGAGCGCCACCTCTCCTGTGTTGAGGGACTTGTGTGTTCTTGAATTTAAATTCTATTGCTTTATATAAAAATGTATTATTTATTGTCTAAATATGAAGCCACATCAATGGTTTGTTTTCAAGTTTTGTGACTTTTTTTGTGTCTTTGCCAGTTGAGTGCTGAACAGCCTCCGTAAACATTTTCAGAAGTAAAAAAGAAAGGATCACACAATTTATTTTAATATGTATATTTTGTATACTCGTAATAGTGTGTGTGGAATGATCGATATAAGCGATTGATATGTTATTACCAAAGCATCAAGCAATCAAAGAAAAAAACAGCCAATTCCTACCACTGTTACAGTTTCTACAGTTTTTTCTAAATCATGGCACATTTTGTACACAAATATAAAGAGATATGTTGTATTGTTTTTGTTATTAGATATACAGTTATTTAGGATAAAAAAGATCTGTATACTGTCTGTTTTTTCTGAGAATTATGGAAGGGAATCATCAGCAGCCATGCCTTTCTGTAGCTAAATGAACCACAATACAGACAATTATAAAAGTATCTAAAGCCAGAAATATTTTAAAACTGAGAAATGTGTTTTTAATGACTGTAATTCTCAAGTGATGATTGTTGCTTTAAAACACTCTGATGCAACCCAGCATACCAGACTTGGAACAGAACTTGAATGTAAGCAACCCCTTGAATGTAGCTGTGTACATAAACACCTAACAATCATTAAATGAGTTAGATTTACTGTTTATAGTGTTTAAGCAAGTTACAGAGAAGATTCTGTAAACAATTTGACACAATTATAAGCTCATTCTCACACGGGAAGAAAAAAAAGACATGTAAAGTTTGCTTTATTTTGTGATTCTTTATTTATGGTATGTAAAGATTGTCATTTTTTGACCAATAATAAACGGTGTTGATTTGCTGTTGTACATTTACCATAAAAGTGAGCTCAAGAAAAAAATCCTGTCAAAGAGAGAAAAACAGGATTGACTGACATTCATTTTAACAAGAACATGAGTGTGAGACGTTTTGTGCACATTCCACCAAAAGGGACATTTTCAACATTGAATTTTGTGTGTGTGTTTTTTTTCCAACGCGTGTAAAAGCCACAGACAGGAATGAAATTACAAACAGCACGTATGTCCAGTACCAGTGGTTAGGTAATCTGACACTAAGATTGAATTTACACTGACATGCAAGTGGCTCATTTGATGAATGGATGTCTAACTGGCATCCTAAAGGTGCATTAGGGTGGTTCAGGTAAAACTTTGGTTTATTTGCTCCTTTATATATTCTTTTAAGATATAAACTATTTGCATTAGGACAGCAGCAAATAACTGTGCGTTCCCTTAACTGCTTAGAGATCACTGAATTACTGTAAATTGAATGGAATTAGATGAGTAGATAGTCTGTAAATTTAACACTAAAGAAAAAATGTGCTTTTCAACAAAGAAATAGTTTTTAAAAAAAAGCTTTTACCTATGTTTTGCCTCATTCATCATATTTTAAGAAAGATGTGCTTTGTATAACAAAAAAAAGAAAAAATCTTTTGCTGGACAAGGTTATTTAGGTTTTGGAAAATCAGAATACATCTTGCCTTTTTGCGTGTCTTTGACATAAAAAATATACGATCACTGAAGTACAATACAACCTCAGATGAGCAACAATTCATGTCTGGACTAATTAAATCAATAGTTATTGAGAAATGTGAGTAGTAAGTGCTGTAAATCAGTTGCTTCTGTTACATTATCAACAGCATGTGTGAGGGCCTCTCTAAAAGTAGAGTGTTAGGCAGTTTGCTGGCCTGCAGCTTTCAGTTGTGTATTTCCGCAATGTTTATGAAAAAAGACATCAACAGTCAATCGGAGACGGGTTAAAGGGCATTTAGAACCAGGCTAAATTTATTATTCCATTATCAGAATGATCACTCACGAGTGGAATTGCGAGTACTAAGTTCACCTTATGATCAATCGGTTCAGTGACAATAAAAAGGCAAACATTTTAAAACCAGCATCTCTCAACATCTATAAGACTGAATATTGAATTTGTTCATAGTAAAATGTAAAAAAAAAAAAAAATTTTTTTTAAAAGAGTTTCCACGAGAAACGTCTTTTACTCCTAAAAGAACATTTCAAATTAGCAAAGCTGCATCTGCGCAAACCATAAGGATTAGACTAGATAAATTAGATCTAAAGCAAACTTAGACTTAGACTCAACTTGATTTATCTCTCAGGGAAATTCTGGAACTGTGCATAAATTACTGATTACAAACCTTTATGATCTTACAGTGGGGCTGAAGTTCTCAACATCAATATGAGAAATAGTGTGAAAGATGAGATCAAACGAAAAGCAACAACTTCAACTACCTCTAAGAGTTCTGAATTGTAGTGTAGTACTCGAGTATTTCCAGAGATTTGCTTCTTACATGTAAAAAGACTTTTCTGTATCGGTAATGACCATGTTTTTATGGCTCAAAAAAATTAGGAGTGGCTCAGGATTGCATATTCATTTAAGGTAAACTCCCAAACTAAACTTGGGCTTTATATAACATTTGTTGAGTTTTAAAAGATTCAGTTGCACAGCTAGCATGCTGTCAATTCAACATTCAATTCATTTAGATTTAGATTTAGATTATTAAAGTTAAAAAAGTTTTCACTTCCTTTTGTATTTATGATTTCAAATAGTCTCATAAGAAGATTTATGACCAATTCTCTCACACAGCAGGTATCAAAGTAATTAAAGTTGAGAGCAAATTAGAAATATTCTTTATTAGCACATTGTTTCGCATGAGGTATAAAATAAACTTTTTAGATGTGATGCTTTTTTTATTTGTTTAGTTAGCAAACAGAGAATTAGCTTGTTAATCGATGTAAATGTACTACACAGGATATGATGAATTGGATGTGACCACCCACAGAGCAAAAAAAAGAAAAGAAACAGACCTACAGACTCAATATTACAGCGATCCAGAAATTGTTTTTGCTGATACTCATAGTGCAACAACAAAGCCACCTTTTATGTTTTGCGATGTAAATTCAGCCTTAGTTTAAACCAGATGGACATAGAAAAATGTTTTAACAGTCACTTTAGTAAAAGGCCACATACTGCTGCTTCTCACCTCCACTAACTGTATACACAAGAGTAGAAAAATGCTGCATGAGCAGGCACCAGTCCAAACACCAACGTACGTTACAGTAGATATTACATGTGACGGGGAACCATCCCTATTCTGGATGTAACATTCCTTATGAAATCGGACGTGGTCAACATGCACCTTTATAAGTCAGAGAAGATGGTTAGTGGATAGCTTGTTCTGAAACACCGAGGTGAAAAAAGGAGACATAAACCGGCCTACTGCATATTAAAAAAATGAGCTAAACCTGCTTGGCAGAGTTTCTGAACTGCACACTCACAAAAGAAATATCAGCAACACACGTAAACTGTACAGTTGGTCAACAATGATTTGTTTCCAAAGACTAAAAAACATCTAGAAAAAAAAAAAGAAAAAAAAAAGCAAGGAACAGAAAAACTTCACCTTACAACATCACGTTGTCTTTGATATTTTTTGTGCTTTTTTTCACATTTTTCTTTTTTTTAGCTGGGTGAAATGGATTGAAGGCTCAGTCTTTTAGTCACCCCTCTAAGGCAGTTTCCATGGCAACTTGATCTGGAATAACATAGCCCATTGGCTCGTCTGATGAACTTGCATCTCCTGTGTCCAGTGACCACTGCTCCGGTTGAATAAAACTGCATGGGAGGTTTTTTTACAGTTAGAAACTAACTTCGAACATAAACAATTAGATTGACTTGTGCCGTCTTAACTTTACACATTAGATGATCGAGTTCCTCAAGGTTTCACTTATCTGCTTGTTCTCTTTCAGATCTGCTGCCTTATCTGTTTGTTTGTGCTACTAATCTGTCCCATTCTTATTTCTTCTATATTTTCCAACAACTTTCTTCTAAATCATTTACATTTACATTTATATAATGTTTCTGTTTTCATTTATTCCTTTCCACCCAAAAAAATAATTCACCTCGGTTAAGCTTTACATTACGGCACGGTAATAATATGGTAATAGCATAGTAATACTGTGTAACAAATTGTTAATAACCAGGTAATTGTGTGTAATTACAATAGAATTCCTATGAAACTAGCATTGTAATACTTTGATAAGAACAATAACAAAGAAATAATTACAAAGTAACCTTCACCTCCATCTATCAATCTTTTCTGTTTTTCTTCCCTTCTTTCATAATGTTCCCTTTTTAAGTCTTTCGATTAATTTTACCCTTTGCTATTTTAAACCCCAAAAATTGGCTGAACGCAATCTTTTCAGCTCATCCTAAAGCTACATCCCACAAAAAACAACACAATAAAATGAGAATCAAACTTACTCATCACTGTTGACTTGAGGTCCCACTAAACTATGCGGTGAAGGTGGAGATGGACGGGGGTGAGCCTGGAGATGCCTGTCCAGGACGTGGTCATCGGGCGGTCCCCTTATGTGCGAGCTGGGATTCGTGGCGATGGTCTGGTCAAAGTCAGGCTGCGGCGGGGGATATTGTTGCTGGTCAGAGAAGTTCGGGTCAGAATCTGGTGATGGCGAGGCCGTCTGGCTGCTGCTGCTGGACGTGTTGGCGTCCAGCATCTCCAGAAGGAGGTCATATACCAGCACAACGTTCTTCCTCTTCATGGTGGACAGGTGGTCCATTCCTTTGTTACTATGGAGAGACAGAGTGCAACACTGAATGAGGATACATCAGAAGTGATAGCACACAAACAAATGTATTATGAAGACAGTTAAAAGCCTATTTGCTCCTTTTATGTGTTGAAAAAGCTGAAGTTTTCAGAAAAAACAGATTTTTATAACATTTATTCATAGAAATAATTCAAAAGCCTCCAGTTACAACAGAATATGGATCTTATAATCAACTGCTGTTGTCTTAGTACCTGTTCTGACTAAAATTGTAGAATTGAATACATTTCTAGAAAATTATTATAAAGAATTATAAAGAAAGTAAAAAGTCAATTTGTGTTGAAAAAGCTGGAGTTTTCTGAACAAACAGATTTTTATAACATTTATTCATAGAAATTACTCAAGAGCCTCCAGTTACAACCGAATATGGATCTTATAATCAACTGCTGTTGTCATAGTACCTGTTCTGAATAAAATTGTAGAATTAAATACATTTCTAGAGAATTATTCTGTGGACATATACATGGATGCTTTCCAATATAGACCATACAAGTTAAAATGTGTGCAACCAAGGTAAGAGCATTTTGTTGGGATTAAACAGCCGTGTTCTTAGTAAGACAATGCAAATTCTTGTGAACAAAACTTTATGAAGTAGCATCTATAGTTTCTGGACTGAATTAAAATATCAAATATCACTCAGAAGTGCATTTACTGATATCTACTTAATGTGTAAAAATGTATATTAATCAGAATTGATTATAGTTGAAAAAGATCCTGTTTTAAAGTAATTTTGACTTATTTTTCTAGCTTTTTGTTTAAACAATTGTCACTATACCGTTGTTGATAAAGACTTGATTATAGTTGAAAAAGATCCCGTTTTAAAGTAATTTTGACTTATTTTTCTAGCTTTTTGTTTAAACAAATTGTTTCGTTGTTGTACCGTTGTTGACATAATTTCCTGTGAAAAACTCCCATTTTTTCTGAATACTGTCAACTAAAAAAAACATATTTTATTGATTGTTTCAGAATGCTCCCAGGCATCTGCTTCGACTTCAATTAGGAATGCATTTGTGAAAAAGTGAGCTAACGACGAAGACAGAAATCAAGTTGGCTTTGCGAGCATGTGTGATTTTCAAATCAGCTCCTCTGGTTTCCTGTTGTCTCCGTCTGTACCTGACGTGGCGGATGTGGGAGAGGAGCATGGTGAGGTGGCAGAGGCGCAGAGTCTGCTGCTGGGTCGACAGGCCCAGTTTGGAAATGGCCCAGACCAGAGCGTCAATCACAGAGTCCAGGAGGCGCAGAAGCTTGTTCCTACTTTCGAGCTCCTCCGCCGTCTGAGGAGAGCTTGTGCACAGATCTGTAACAAACAGCAGGACAGTTTAACAGTGTGTATTTTTGTGTCACAGACAGGCGGAGAGAGGAGAAACAGACTTATAAGATGAGATCCGTGGAACTTTAAGTTTACTATAACCTTATGTTGTCATCTTACAACCAGGGATTTTGATATAGAAGTTTGGATAAGTCGTTTTACATTATTTACAAAGTAAAACAAAAGAAGAAAAAAATTGAACTAAAAAGGGAATATAGCCACAGGATTTCTCAACTGCTATGGATTTTATTTTTAATATTTAAATTAATCAATAAATTATAAAAATGACTGATAATACTTACATTTCTAAGAAAGAAAATCTCAAGAAATTGGGAGCAAAATCCAGTAAACCAGTCAATCTCTGATTATCTTCTTTACCCTCAAAAAATTATAACTATGACCTTTTGATAAATATCAATACATATTTACACATCAATATCTATGATTAAATGGGCCATTAAAATCTACTCTGGTCTATCTAAAGTTGAAATCTGGAATTTTGCCTGTTTTTTTTTTGCCTGTCAGATTTACATCGGCAGAGCAGAATAAAAGCTTAAATGCTGGCTGAAGTAGCATTTGGTAATCCGGGTTTCTCATATTTCTCCATCTGGCTCATCAAAGACCACTGATGATGACTCCAGAGGAAACACTAGAGGACAATATAGAGGTAGCTGTAGATCAACCTGTCCGAGCAACTAAACCAAAAGGTTCAATCTCTCCAAAATAATAAATCTCTAAAAAAAAAACAACTCATTTTCTTCTTTAGCTTTTAAGACTCGGTTTCAGTTGCTTCACATTCGTCTTTATTTTCCCAAAACCAGCTGCGGTGGAGAACAGTCAAGAGCGCCTGGCAAGGGATCATATGTGTGCTTTAGGGAGGAAACTGTTAAACTTTGTAAGGACAGGCAGAGAGGTCGGTCACCTCAAATGAAACCTGCGTCTGCTGGTGGTAGGGAAACAGAGTGAGGACACTGTGACCGCTGGAAATGCATGCGAGGTTAAAAAACAAACTCACCGCAGCACTTAAGTTAGTCTTCACTGATCATTCAATTTCCCCACAACCTTCCTGAAAAAGCAACTAAATTTGGCCAACCCATCCTTTGTAGGAGGATCAAATAATTTTACAGTACAGATATCAAATAACCACATCCAAAGGACCGGTGTAAGCCAGCACCCATTAGAGTTTATGAAGTGGCTTTTACTGTCAGAAATAATGGGAAGTCTCTGTAAACTTTAGAGGACCAGCTGAATACATAAAATACAAAATACAAAGTGTGGCTACTATTTCATTTATTGATTTATTTTTTTGCTATAAAGTTTTCTAAAACCACAGCCCTGTTAAATGCTTGAGACAAAGAGATTTTAATGATGTGACATAGTTACATAGCAGAAATAATGATTTATGAAATACATAATAGAATATAAATAAGGTTATGTGAGTTTGGTGTGAATTATTATTTGTAAATTGTTCTTGGCCATCAATCGGCTCAATAAGAACAAATAGAATCTTATTGAATTGCTAATAGTGGGGAATGTTAGCACTTACTGATCCTATATTCAGTTAACTTCCCGTTCTATCATCTCCCCTTTGATCAAAAACATCAACATTTAATAATATTTGATGGGATATGATTAGACTATACATTGTGCATATGTGTTTTACTATATGTAACAGAGTAAAGTAAGAAAATAAACTTAGCTTGCAAAACTCCGAAACACATTGAAAGCCAAATAATGACAACCTGAGCCATGGTTCAGCTCGAGGTTTCTGCCTGTTAAAAGGAAGTTTTTCCTTGCCTGTGTCACCTAGTGCTTGCTCACGGTGGGAATTGTTGGGTTTCTGTAGTTAACTTTAGAGTAGGGTCTGACCTGCTCTGTTTGGAAAGCGCTGTGAGACAACTGTTGTTGTGATGTGGCGCTATATAAATAAAATTGAATTGAAAAAATATAATTGAATTGGTTGCTCTCATTTTTTAATAGATGTAGGGTACATATATAGCGACGATCGGTGACCCACAACAGCTCCAGATTATTATGTCAGGAAACATCAACAAAGCAGAGGGACCAACTTATCTGGATTATGTAAAAACCAAAAGCACACACTGCTGTGCTGATTGCGGAGGCTCAAACCCTTGATCTTTGATGCAACCCAAACGCTTCAGTCATTCTTGTCTAACTGCGTCATTAAAACTCACTGGAATTGAGAAGGATCATGGCCTTCAGACAGACGTACTCCTCTCTCTGCAGCTTGAGCTCCCGAAACCTAGAAGTTGCCGCCAGCAGCATGTCGAAAATCTCCATTATGCCCTCCACGCACTGACCCTCCTCCCTGTTGAGACACAGAGCGAAAGAGTCACATGAGGAAATAGTTGATTGGAAAAATCGGACAGGACAAAAACAGATAAGGGAGAAATGTTCAGGTTCAGACGTTCATCAATCCCTTATAATAGTGGTGAACCAATGCAGAGTGTTGAATAATATCACTAACTGCAGCCACAAAATTGTGGTAATATTTAGCCAATGGTCAACTCTTCCAAGAAGGAAGTAGGATCAGTGTGTTGCAAATGTTAAAGTTATGTTCATCTCATAAACTGACATATGAAGCCTATTTAGATTAACTACAGAGTATTGAAAGGACTCAGCATGCCCAGCTGAGGCTGGTATTTTTTCATTTAATAAAAACCGGATAGTCAGTATACAAGCGAGAAAATAGATTTTTATCCAAGGGACTGGCTGAATGTTAACAAAAATATTTAATATATTTTACCAAAAATGTACAATGGTTTTTATGACAGAGACAAAATAAAAATAAAAACTGATTCTGACTTTATAAAGATGTTGGATAGAAAAGGAAAATATTTATAAATGAGCGGGTATCCTTTAGAAATAAATTGATTGAAGGTTTTTTTGTAATCTATGCATACTGCCACTCAAGCTCTTGTTAAAATCCCAACATGAAACACTATCATGAAGACAATATCACACCCTGACAGAACCTCAAAGCTTTTTCCATAGTAGATGTATAGATTTTAGTGCACCAAAATTATCAACAAAGGCTTGCAATTAATGATACCTTGCAAAGCAAATTATTTGTCCACCTGACTATATACAGTCCCCAAATCTGCTCATGGACACAACTGTTAATATATTGACTGATATGATCATCTGCGTAATCTAATCCTAAAAACACTATTCTCATCTAAACATGTCCTACAAAAATCCAACCAACAAATTATGTCAAACTAGTTGATCCACTCTTTTGCCCCGTAAAATCATTCTTTAATGTTCTATCAACATGACCAAAGAGTTAACCAACCGAAACTGTGTGGAGGTAAAAAGATCAGAAAAGCATTGATATTAGACAGGAGGGCTTAGAGAATTGCTCTCGTTGAGTGAGCGGATGGATTTGCATCCAGGATGTTTTCCTGAGCTGTCCAAGGAGAGAAGGTTACTTTGGGACGACGGGGACCACTCAACGCAGAAAATAAGACCGTGTTATGAAAACACACCAAGGCTAACCTAAGCCTATAGTGATAGTTTCCGTGGAAGTTAGAAAAGAAAGGTCATATACTGAATTCAACCCAACAATGTCCTCGTATGAATGTCCTCCCATAGACTCACTCAAAAAGACATTTTCTTCTTTTGTTTAAAAAATAAAGTAGAAAAAATAAAATACAAAAAACAGAACAAAAATACCAACTGAAAATTTGAAAATAGACAATCAAATTTTCATTGAAGCAATCTCCATAAAACGTTCCGACAGCTTTTCAACAAATTGATAAAAAATAATTTTGGCTCCTTGTTCACGGTTTATTTAAAATAATGACCCTAACTGAAGAAAAAAAACAAAATCCACTGCTTTATAACATGCAAATGTTAATGTTCTAAAAAAATATTACCCAAGATGTTTCCACCTGATAACAGGTTCATCAGCAAACCCAAACTGTTGGTAATTACTGTGTGTTTACTATGAATTCAACACGTGAACGGCAAAGCCAGACGTTGACAGCTTTTTGTGTGGGTAAAGTTGAGGGTCAGTGTTGAAGAGAAACACCAGAGATAAAAGATTTTTTAAAGCAAAATGAGCCACCGGTTCAGAGGAATCAGAAATTAAACCACAACACATATTAAGTAAAACATTAAATGAACTGCACTTCTATAGAGTTTAGAAAAGTTTTTAAATTAACAGGATAAAACACACTCTTTTTTTTTCCCCTAACACATTTATACACAAACACATGCATCAACAGGCAGTGTGGGTGTTAGTTAAAAAATTTCACAAGGACACTTCTATATGTTAGCTGGGGATGCCAGGAATCGAACCACAGACCCTTCAACTGAAAGACTAAAGCTATCATTATTAGTAGTATTTCAAATGTAGGAAAAGAAGCATTTGCATGTGAATTTTCTTCTGAGTTTGCTTCATATCACCAATTTTCATGATATAGTCTTATTCACGGCAAATGATAGAGCTTTAAAAAAAACTGCTTGTGCCTGTTGGGGATAATAGAAGTGGGAAATGTCTCTAAACAAACATTTAGAAATGTAATATCTCCAGCCAAGACTGTACAAACTGTGAGTTAATCAATAGAAAATTGGCTGTCTAAGGTATACCTAATGCAATATGTAGTCAAGCCATTTTTTTGGCTTCTACAGGAAAGTGACAAGCTGTTGTCAAGCTATCACTCGTAACTTATCTTTTTTAAATTCATCTGTTTATTACTTATTTGTTGTATTTTAAAGGCTGCAATAATGTTGCACTGGTCACTACTTTATTGCATTTATTTATTTTCACCCTGTACCGTAAGCGTTGCACAGCAATTTCCCTGGAGATTAATAAAGCTTTTTTAATCTTGAATCTTTGAAAAACACTGACACTTAAGACTCTAAATGCACTCTTGACAACAGATGATGAAAAGCTGAGATCCCTACCTGTTGAGTTTGAAGTCTGGAGAGAAGATCAGTTTCCCAGGATGGTCCACCGACCTCCACATGAGGCCCAGCATCAGGATCTCCAGCCAGCAACACTTCAGCAGGTGGATTTGGTCCGTTAGACTCAACTCTACAAAGCCTGGGGAACAAAGCAAGGAAAGGGCAATTTTAGATTTTAGAATCCATACTCTACCTACACTATGAAACTTTTTACAGTAAAAAATTCACACTCTTTATTAAAGGTCAACTCCTCTTAAGAAAGAAAATTTTTCTTCAAAATTTGAAGTATAATCTCTAATGAGGTGAAAAGCAACACCTTTTTAAATTACTGACCATACTCTTCCCGTGACAAAATGAGGAGTTATTATGTTGATCATCTTCTTGACTACAACGTTTATAACAGAAAAAGAATTGTTGTCATTTTCTGTAAACAAATATTAGCGTGATTTTAAATAAATAATCTTTTTGCGCTGTGACAGGTCACACTTTTTATGAAATTTGCTATTGACCACAATACAACCCCAAAGCATGATTGATCCACTCCCATGCTTAGCAGTTGGACTAATATTCCTTTCTGAAATTCTGCATCCTTTCTTCTCGTAACATGCATACTGAACATTTGAATAGGGCACCACAACCTAAGTGTCTGCAGAATCTCCCTGAGGAAATCGTTATCTGCAAAGGCTTTTTAATCTTTTTATACTCTTGTTCTTTGCAACTGCTTTGAGGAACCTGGCTGCAGATTGTTGGCATAAAGTCAAAGGAGTCTGGGTATTTTTTAAAGCTTTGAATATTGCATTATATGTTTGTTGTTTTTCTAATGATAACTGTGAACAAGCGTGATCCTACCATGATCATTAAGGTCTTACACTACTTTGGCAACCTGTGATACTTGCTACTAGGTAAATCTATGCAGGGTTCCCAAACTTTAGCTGTGGCCATTGTTAATCTTAATTTAATGTATCATTTAAATGTATTATATCATTACTCCATGCCTTTTGCAAATAATTTAATCTACAGCCTCCTTAATTGTGCACAGTAACATAAATGTTGACTAGGGGTGCCTAAACAGTTGCATGTACTGTATATGTGACCTAGGATCACATTTTAAAGTGACACAGATTCCATTTAAAAAGCAAATGTGTCTTGGAAAACAGACAAACACAATAAGATATGATTCAAATCGGAAGTGGATTAATTTCAGCTTCATAATTTAACATAGTCTTTCTTTTTAATCGCAATTTCTATTGTTTGAAATATTTGACCAAAATCAATGTGCAATGTAAATACAATACTGTACCAATTTAGAATGAAATTAGACTTAAAAAGTAAATATCTGACAAATTATTTTCTTAAACAGGGTTGGGTTCTGATTAGTTGTTTTTAAGTTTTTAAACCAGATAATTAACCTACAGATAATTTTAAAATAAAAAATCAGAATCATAATAGTTTATTCTTTAAAAATAGCATCACAGAAGAGCGACTCTGTAATTTGCTTGACGGGCAGAGCTTTGCTCACCTGCCTGTGGCTTGTTAGTTCTTTTATAGAGCACACAATATATATCATTTTCACTTCTATCCAGATGGGAAAAAAAGGTATGAAATCAAGCAAAAAAAATTGTCTCTTCAAAAAAATTGTGGCAAGATGGTCTTTATTCAAAACCACTGGTCTTTGTTACCCCTTCACATTAACACATCTCCAACACAAGACACCTGCTGAGTGGAACAGAGGCTGAGAGAAAGGGGATGGGATAGAAAAGGGAAAAACTGATAGCAAAGAATGGAACTAATGCAGTAAAAGAGAGAAAGAAGGAAGAAGGAGAGGAAAACCAATTTTGATGGGAAACAAAATCGTGAAAGAGGTCGAACAACCAAGCAAATGTCAATAAAGGCAAACTATAGATATTAATATATTTGTAAGTGCAGATTCTTATTAGTCAGGCTTGTAAACAATTGCTGCAAAAATGGCAACAAAACGATGAAAAGTTATGTAAAAAATACCTATATAGTTCTGTTAAAAATCAAAATGGTGTGAATGCTTAATCTATTAAATCCAACTCAGTTAGAGGTTGTATCAAGTTGTTTCATACAACTTGATACAACTTTCTGCCTGTTAAATGGAAGTTTTTCCTTGCCTGTGTCGCCTAGTGCTTGCTCATGGTGGGAATTGTTGGGTTTCTGTAATTAACTTCAGAGTAGGGTCTGACCTGCTCTGTTTGGAAAGCGCTGTGAGATAACTGTTGTTGTGATGTGGCGCTATATAAATAAAATTGAATTGAATATAAAATAATTCCAAATAAAGTTTTGAGGGAGGAACCAATCTTATCCTAGAAGCAGCGATGAGTGATTTACAGGTTGGACTTCAGCATACATATCTTACCGGGGATTTTTTTAGCCCAGCTGATCATCAGGACCAGTTCCTTGTCGGCCAGGTTGGTGAGCGACATCATCATGCTGGCCTGGGTGAAAGGTTTCTTCAGGTCCTCCATGAGGTAAATCTCTGGGGGCTCGGCCTCCATGATACGGGAGATGAACTCCTCCGGGCTCATGGCCGCGTGGTGCGCGTGGTTCTGCTGAGGGAGGGGGGCGGGCGGGGAGAGGGGCGTCCTCAGGTGGAGGTGTCGCTGGGCGCGAGAACCCATTCCGACTCTGACTAGAGCTCTGCCGGTCGCATCCCGGGGCTGTAATCCTCCCCGGCGTTGTCGGGCTCCTCGATAGCTGCAGCGTTCACGTCTGACGCCTGGTGTGAGGCGAGAAAAAATCTATACAGTCATCCTTTGTAAGATTACACTGTGCTAAAGAGTAACAGAACACGAGTATATATAACAATCCTAGCTAAAAGGTCTCTACTGTCAAATGAATTCTTGTCATTTATTTATTTGTTATATAGGATGTACAGTGGGGGAAATAAGTATTTGACCCCTTGCTGATTTTGCAGGTTTGCCCACTTACAAAGAATGCTTATTTTTCCTCATCAGATGGTTATCAATTTTTATAAATTCATATGATGTGATTTTCTGGAATTTTCTTTGGGATTCTGTCTTTCACTGTTAGAATGTACATATGATTCAAGTTATAGATTGTTGTGTTCTTTGCAAGTGGGCAAACCCCTTGCAAAATCAGCAAGGGGTCAAATACTTATTTCCCCCACCTGTAAATTAATATCATTTTTAAACCTGCAATACACAGTGATTAGAGTGAAGCAATCTTATGGGCAAGCCTTGTCAGCAGTTACTGAAAACATTAATAGGAGTTATAAATCATCTAAAAACCTCACACATCCTTTTTTTTTATATATATATATTTCATATTCATATGCATTTCCATTGTTCCTTAAGCAAAAAGCAGTTATCTTTAATTAACCCTTTAAAGCCCGATCCAAGAATAAAACAAAACAGAAAATTACTTTTTTTTGGTTTGAAGTCCTTATTTGGCCTTTTAACAAAATGTAAAAAGAAAAAACAGAAATACATTTTTCATATTAATAATTTATTACTATGCGATAAGTCAAGAATATTTTTTGTGTAGTCTTCTGCCCTCTGTTATCAGGTATATCTAATTGTGTACAATAGGATTTTGAGCAATTTTTACCATTAAATTAAGCAGAAGGTGTCAGACGCAAAACATTTCAGAAACCGTATGTATCAAATATGATACATTTGGCATTACAGGGTTAAATTGATGTGGTGTAAGTGTCCAGAATATAATGTTTATCCGTTAATCTGTCTTTCTAAGCGTAAGATGCCCACATCAAATTCAAGTCCCTGATGCTAGCCTATAGAGTGTAGAGGTTTATGTCACAACTCGGTCAATGGATTGTCGTCTAGTAGTGCCGACACCACGATTAAGACAATCCAGACTGTTTTCATGTGTTGTTCCAAAATGGTGGAATGACCTAGCAAGCGCTACAAGTCTATCTTCAGGAAACTCTTAAATACCCACCTCTTCAAAGAGCGTCTCCTATCCTAACTCTTACCCATAACTCTGTACCCTCTCTACTACTCTTTCTGCCACCACTTAATCTGACTAGGGAACTTATTGTCATATTGATGATAACTGTAAGATTCTGTCTATTTTGCAAGTCGCTTTGGATAAAAGTGTCAGCTAAATGCATAAACATAAACATAAACACAAAGTTGGGATGCTGATGGTAAAAATTCCCCTTACATTAAACATAAGACCAATCCAAGAAATAAATGGAAAAAAAGCAAAAAAGAATAGCAAAGTAGCATTAAACATAAAAAGTAGTGGAGGAAAAATAAACAAAGACTATTAAATAATAACACTTTGGACAATTGAAACAAATACTAACAAAAAAGCAACTTTGAAAAGGCAAGCGTTTAGGAATGCACTGAGTTTGCCTTCTCAAGGCTAAAGACCGTTCCAAAGTTTAGGAGAACCGAGGAAAAATACAGACATAAAAAGGTCAGGCTGTTAGTCATACAAATTGGTATAAGAAACTAAAGATATGTATTTTTTTTTTAAGTTTGCAAGTCCCACTTCCACGAGTGTCTTTGCTCTCTAGCTTGAACCGATAACATTTTTGTGGAGACTCCAGACGTAATGTTGCAACTATTATTAATCTTCATCCCTCCGCTACTGTGTAAGAAGATAAACTTTACCAAAAATGTAAGATAGCGGGATAACTGGATAAGGTGGAATAGTACAATTTGAAAACTCATGTTGGACATTGCCCAGCAGATATTCAAAATGCTTTGCCCGAGTTCAACTAAACTGTTAATCTCTTTTATCTCACAGTAAAACAACAAATCACCAAAAAGTCAGCAATTACAATAAGAAGAGACGAATGCCTACCACACTTCATCATGCCCACTTCATAGCATTTCCGTAAGCGGCAGGCCTGGCAGCTTTTACGTCGGTTCTTGTCGATAGTACATTGATTTGTAGCGGGGCAAATATAATCATTGTGTCCTGATAAGAAAAAAAAGGGGCATTTTATCCCAAAATAATTTGATACGTAAAAAGAAAACAAAAATCAGAAAGGGAGGAGAGATCTTACCCTGGATGCTCCTCTTGAAAAAGGCCTTGCAACCCTCACACGACCACACCCCGTAGTGGTATCCGGAGGCGTAGTCGTGACACACGGCGCAGAAGTGCATGTCGGCTTTCCCCACGGCAGACGAACACGAGGAGGATTTCTCCTTCCCCAGTAACTTGTTACAGCTGATGACAGAGCTGCAAGAAGAAGCACAGAGTCTGTGAAAAATAACACCGGGGGACGACTTGACATTAGGAAATTTCGCTTGTCATCTGCTGGTCGTTAATCCCACAACGGGTAGTTTGTGGCTCAAAATGTCTATAATGTATAAAATTGTATTAGCATGTGTCTCACAGTACAATGCAACTCTGCATTTTTTTATATTATTCTCACGAGCAGCTAGACTTTTTCAAAACCTGGAGGAAAAAGGTTGATACCCATGTTTATTGTCATGGCTACTGTTTGTGTATGAGACCCGCTGAGGTTGAAGGAAGAGGTTAGCATTCAGCCAAGGGGAGGAGGCCATGTAAGGGGGCTAGATGATAAATAACTTCAGAGTGATGGAAATCCCGATTGTGTCTCCATACGTATTCTGCTTCCAAGCAGCCTGAGCATCTTTGTAAACTTTTTTATTTAAAAAAATGCTAACTTTTCCCAGACTTTCTCAAGCCCTTTGCAAAGTACTCTGCGGGCATAACCTGTATTTGTTTTGCTAATTTTCTAACTTGTATGTTTACCTAAAGACTTCCATTTTTGTGGTTTTTTAAAAAATATATAAATATATATATTTCTAAAATGTATTTGTTAAACCAATTAACACTGGCCCGTGGTTCTCAAAATCATAAAAAAGTACATAACCTAAGGGATGAGCCTATGTTTTGACTACACATTACAGACAATTTGGCATATATAAAATCACTAATCATAGGAGATATGTTGTGTCTTTTAAAAAAAAAAGGAATATATGGCATACAGATTGGTGAAAACACCACTACCAAAAGCAAATCGGCTGTCTTTTTAAGCCTATGAAAAAAAGCACTCATTTAGGCCAGTCTGTCCCTGGGTGAGGAGTGGGGAACTGAGTAGACCTTGACTCTACCATCCCCTCTCCCCCTCTCTTGAGATTGATTACTGGGATAAAATAATTTTTTTGCTGGCCAGCAATGTGGGCCCATTCCAGTCTGAGCTAGAGTCAGACCCTGAACATGTTTCAGTTCAGCTTCAACAAAGAGCTGGGGATTTTTGTATGTGCACAAAATCCCTGTCCTTCTCTCACCCTCTCTCTCTTGCCCTCTCTTTCTCTCACCCCCAACCGGCCTAGGCAGATGGCCGCCCACCCTAAACCATGGTTCTGCTCGAGGTTTCTGCCTGTTAAATGGAAGTTTTTCCTTGCCTGTGTCGCCTAGTGCTTGCTCATGGTGGGAATTGTTGGGTTTCTGTAGTTAACTTTAGAGTAGGGTCTGACCTGCTCTGTTTGGAAAGCGCTGTGAGACAACTGTTGTTGTGATGTGGCGCTATATAAATAAAATTGAATTGAATTGAATGTTGGCTGAGGAGAAACTTGTGCAATTGATTCAAGTTTATATCAGTGTGTTTCGGTATGTTACCAGCCATCAACAGTTGAGGAGTCTAATGCAAACCCCTCACACACACAACGAAGCCACTGCATTCACATTAAAACCAAGTTCTTTTTTTACAAGTGTATGTCCCTTTATTGATCCCATTAGATATTTGTAATTCATCTGTACCAGCAAACATTGTACACTGTGCAACTCCTAATAATGCGCGTGTACCATTAACTTTTGTGTTTATACATTTTAACCCTTTAAAGCCTGATCCAAGAAAAATAGGACGAATATTAGATTTTTTTCGTCTGGAGTCTTTCTTTGGCCCCTCAACAACATATGAAGAAAAAAAAACTGAACTGATTTTGATCAAATTAGCGTCAAAAATATTTTTTCGTGTAGTCTTCTACTCGCTGTTTTCACGTATATCTGAATGTGTACAACAGGGGTTTGAGCAAAGCTTTTACCATTGAATGATGCAAAAAGTCTCAGATCCAAAAGATTTCAGAAACTGTATGTATCAAATATGATACATTCGGCATTATAGGGTTAACTTCCATATTTGCCAAATACATTCAATAATGTCCACATACAGCTACTAATTGTTCAATTAGAGGACAACAAAAAGTGGATATAACTTCAAAACAACTTAAAAATGAATGGACGTGTTTCACTAAAGACGTTGAAAAAAATGCAGATTCAACGAAGAAGAAAGACTGAATTAAGTAAAAACAAAACAACAATATACTTTTTTCTGACACCAACTGTAACATTTCCAACGAGATTTGTAGATAAACTGGTTTACTTAAGTTATTCATGTTAGGCTAAAGACCAAAGTTTCAAGAACCAAATTTAGTTCTGATAAAATCTCTCTATTTTGCTATTCCTACCACGTGTTTGTACCAGTAATCCTACCTGCTGGGGACGATGCTGTGGGCTTTCGGCTCCAACCAGGGTGTGTGCTGGTTGGGTTCGTTGTAGACAAGAGGTTGGGTGCAGTGCAAAGTCAGAGAGGGAATGTTGTGGTGGCTGTGTGAAGGCCAAAAAGCTGACGGGCTCAGAGGTGGACACAGGGACGAGGGACTGTCAGTGACCGGCGGCCTGGTGTAACTCAGCACGGATGGACTGTAGAAAGCAAAAGGTCCGTGTCCGTGTCCGTGGTTGTAGTCGTGGCTACTGTCCGTGTACGGGGAAGGGATGCAGACGGTGTGGCCGTCCACGCCCAAAGGAGGACTGTACATGGTGGGTAGAAGTCCAGGGGACGTTGGCCTCTCTGATGCTTTGCTGGAGTCCACTTCCTGAAGCTGAAGCAGGGGTAACGTGTCAGCATTCAGTCCAGGGGACGAGGCCATGTCGTGGGGGGGAGATGAGATATACCTGGAGAGTGTTACTCTACTGCATTTTCTTCTCCAAACGAATCCTGTGGCAAACGACAATTAAATCAGACAATGAATTCCTTCAGATTCTACTGTCAAATTAAAATTAAGAGAAACAAAAACCCACATTGCAAAATATAGAAACAATTGAGTGAACAAAGTTAAAAGGTATCACCTCAATTATTTCTTATTAACAAGCAAGTTTAGATGAAATATTCAAACCCTGCATCTTGCAAAAGTATCCAATCAGTCTTATTTCTTAATTTTCTTCAAAGCAGCCATTTCTTTTAAGCCATTTTAATCTTTCTTAAAATTGTATAGCCCAGTCTTCAGCCAAATAAGTTGTCCATCACAACTTATTTGGTATGGGTTGAAACCTGAAATATTGTTGATATCAGAAAAATTAAATAAAAAATACCAGATACAGACAAAAACAGATTCTTTCCTGAATACTTTTGGGACTTAAAATCGGTGTAATTTGCCCTCTGACACAGTATACCGAATAACAAAGTTTGACCATGCCTCATTGAAGAAACTTTTCTGCTTTGAATGATTCTTTAGAAATTGCTTTCCACTTTCTGACCAAGAAATGTTTTAATTTTCCTCAAATATGACCCTACACAAACTATGTTATCTTTTATCCCTGCTTGTTACTGAATATATCACTGAATCAACTATAGTTCTTGTGTTTTTCCAACTACTAAAAATGTCCTTAAGGTGGAAATGAATTTTCTGTTGCTTGTATTAAGCGTTTACTTTTATATTCTTCAGATCTGATTTTAAATCAAAAAAGAAAATTTGATTTTAAAAAAATATTCTCCATTCAATGCTGAATAAATACTTAGGAAGCACGATATGAAGACATCAAGGAAACATTTTATTTTTATGAAATACATGCAAGGGCGGCACGGTGGTGTGGTGGTGGTAGCACTGTCGCCTCCCAGCAAGAGGGTTCTGGGTTCGAATCCCGGGGGAACCAGGACCTTTCTGGGTGGAGTTTGCATGTTCTCCCTGTGTCTGCGTGGGTTCTCCGGCTTCCTCCCACAGTCCAAAAACCTGCATGTTAGGCTGATTGGAGATTGGGGAAATTGCCCTTAGGAGTGAATGTGAGTGTGAGTGGTTGTTTGTCCTTGTATGTCTTGTGTGTGGCCCTGCGATGGACTGGCGGACTGTCCAGGGTGTACCCTGCCTCTTGCCTGTTGACCACTGGGATAGGCTCCAGTTCCCCCCGCGACCCCATGAGGGAATAAGCGGCATTGATAATGGATGGAAAATACATGCATCATCACCACAAAAGAACTTCTTTCCATTTTTTTGGAACTCCAGACAAAACAGGACAAGCTCTTGTCTTGTTTGCCTTCGTTTTGTCCAGACTATTGCAGATTTAGTCATCACTGAGGTAGAAGGGTGTTACTGCAAGCAGTGTTTCGATTATTCAAGGACACTTAAGAAATCACGTTAAAAATATAAGATAATTGGATGTTTTCCTTACTGACTAAGCTAGAGGTCAAATTGTGATCCTACTCTTGCTGCACTTGTAGACAAGATTGGATAAAAAGGAGAACAACCAGATTAACAACTTTACTCCGACTATTTGCAACAGTTAACTTAAGGGAAATATAGAAATAAAACTTGATTGACAAGGTTTCAATTTCACTGATACTTAAACCTGCTAAATTCTAGATATACTGTACATCTTTAAAAAAAAACTCTAAAGAACTACATATTCAACTTATGAGATGGATGGTGGATCCAGGTAACATGATACAGTAATATTCTTTATTTCGTAAAAAGAGAATAGCTCCATTTGTCAGCAGTCTATTTAAATTAAAATCTGTTCCCAACACAAAAGAGAAGTTAAAATTAATCAGCTTGTGTAAGTTTACATGGCTTGCACAACCTGTTGCTAAACTATAGCAACATTTCACTGGTAAATTAGTGGAAGGATCACTAATGAACTGGTACTATATCAATGCATATGCAAGTTGAATCTTAGCACCACTGAGTAAACTGAAATATAAATCTTGCAATTTTGGAAGGTCTTGAGTTTATATGAAGACTATAATTTATCTCTTCGATCTATTAAACATTAATACTTAAACCATGCCTTGAATATAGAGTGGCATGGCCTTTAATAAAACTATAAGTCATGTTTCACCATATGATGCCATATGTATCATATTTGATTCATGCGCTTTCTGAAAGGTGTTGCATCTGGGACCTTTTGCATCATTTACTGACAAAAACTTTGCTGCTAACCCTGTAGTTTACAATCAGATATATCTGATAACTGCGGGCTAAACACTAATCGACCATAATTTTGATTTATTGCACGGTAACCCATGAGAAATATTATAAAATTATTAGTTTTTTTTCATATTCTGGTAAAGGGGCAAATAAGGAATTCAAACAAACCCCCAAAAAATACAATAATTTTCTCTTAATTTTTCTTAGATCAGAATTAAGTGATCCACTATTTCAGATAGTCTATTTTTTAGATCAAAAGCCACATTTAAAGCAACTTAAAAAAGACCCCCATGCCATTTTTTCAACGGTAAATATGTGTTCTGTGCAGGTCGGGTCAAAGTGGCCCTGGGCAAAACAATGCTTGTGTGTCTGTTCACCCTTTACCCTGACATCACCGTGCCCTAATTCAGAATCAAGTCCCCTCCCTGAAATTTATTACATCCAACCAAAAAAAATAAAAAATCAAACCATGATGATGAGACAAGTTACAAATACTTTGATCTTCTGAGATGTGATTGAATACCTGTTGTTGGACTTGCACTTGTGGACTGGGTGTGTTATTCAGATAATTTTTTTATTGAGACAAATGCAGATACAACAGTTACTAAAATGCTAACCAAAATGCTTTTATTGTAAATTCAAATACTGCTGAACCTTGAGGAAAACATCCCTGATTATAAGATTGTTAACTATTTACTTTCCACGTTGAGCAAGGGCAACTGAAAATTTATCATACACCATTTTTGGGGGATTTAAAAACAATTAATTTAATGTGAGGAAACAGGTCATTCCCACTTGTGCGGAATTATTTTTTAAGGGATTCTTAAAAAAATGTAGCCTGTTAATAGAAACTTATCATGTGAGAGTACTATTTTCAGAGATATCATAGATTGTAGATGATAGAATCAGAGCATTCTTAACAGCTATTTGATAATTAACAATATGCTGCTATATAGTGTATTGAACTATTCCAAACCCACATTTATCAAAATGTTCTGTAACACCTGTGCATTTCTCAAACAATCATTCAATTATTAATAGTCTTTAACTTCCCCTTACAAAAAAAAACAACAAAAAAGGTTTTAATAAGTCATATTTGCTCATCAGAGTTTGGTCAAAAGCCAGGTCTTTTACATTGATTTAGGTGTATTTGACACAGATAAATAAACGCTGGTGTTTATGATTAAAAAAAAAAGACAGAGTGAGAGCTTTTATCTTTTATCTGTTGTCCTGGATTATATTTTGGCAAGGATTCCATTTAGGTTACTTCTCAATTTTTGTTGTCCACTGTTTTAGATTTTGTTCAAAGGCAATTTAAATCACGCATATTCACATTTAATTTCTGTTTATTTTTTCATGTTTTGTTAAAAGGCCAAATAAGGACTTCAAGCATAAAAAAAATCTCTATTTTCTATTGGATCAAGCTTTAAAGGGCTAACTGAAACATAGCTAATAAAGCCAATGAAGGTTAGAAAATAACTACAGCTACAGTCTGTAGTTATAAAAACACTGCACTGCACTGTTGTTTTTGGAAGATGAACACACCTGAAAATGTTTGACAAGTACTGAAATAATAGTAGCAGAAGATTTAGTCAAATCAAAACCTTCAGAAGTTAAGATGCGCACCTCAAAATTTTCAGTTTATGACCATTTACATGCTCTGTACTCATGCATTAAATGAGACCAGCAAAAAATCTGATTTGATTTGATCAGAGAGCAGTCCGTTGATGATCTTATATTTAATGTTACTATTATTATCTCTAATTTCTCCATTAACATGCTGCCTGGTCCAACCGAGATAGGACGGACGCAATTCTCAAAAAGGCTTTTAGATTATTATTTTTATGTTCGGTTTTGTTTGTTTGGTTAGGGTTACTTTGTGTATTTTAACAACTTATAAAAAAGCCAATAAAAAAACAAATGTATTTTGCAATATAATCTAATGAAACCAAACAGGCATGATGTCTGCTCCCATTGTTTAGGTTAGTTTGCCGTTAGACTGAATGTCTGTGGATAAAAATGTGTGGGGTGAATAACCGATATGCAAAATTACATTCTTATTGTGTCCATGCTCTAACCACGACAGCCAAACATAATCATATCACGGTTTTTCAAAACAAGCAACGGTGGATCCAGAAAATTAAACTGAAACAGAGAATAAACACTAGGTGCACAATAATAGAAATAATTAAGGAAATGAACACCCCACGCTCTGGCTGACATTTAACATGTGAACAGTTTCTCAGACACCCAATAATCTTAGTCTGTATTTTTTGTCTTGAGAAATGTCTGAAGTTACACCAATGGCTTGGCATAGGATGAAGTACTTTTAAAAAGATTCAAAAGACATTAAAGAAAAATGCTTACTTACTTCTTCAAGCGGTGCATTAGGCTTTTAACCAGACACAATCAAAATGCGCTTTTGTCAGAATGTCTTTGCCGAAGTTTGAGCTTTGAACAGGTTGGTGTTCATGGCAGCCGTCCATTGTAAACCACCACAGAGGCAACAAAGGGTCAAAGGGCACTATTTTAATGCAACTCTGTCTTTTTTTTCTCCACCGCTTTAATCACGTTACCTGTGATCTGGCTTTTAGACAAACTGTCCAAGAGGGACAACGACTTTGTTTGCTTACTTCCCCCATTTTTAAAATGGACTGGTCAAATCTATTCTTTTGTGTAGTTTGCTTCCCAAAGAGCTTAGCAACACAACACTAACAACACACGCCCCT